CTTTCCTACATGTAAACAGTTACTTTGTTATAAAGATTTTTAAAAATAATACATTTTAAGAAGGTACTTAGATCGCATTTTTCATTTCCTTCCTTAACATAGCTGAGAAGACAGTGAAACAGACGGACGGACGACCCAGAATATCAACTATATACCCGAACTTTCCGTAGAAATTTGAGTATAATGATAATTTTGCAAATCATTAGTTTTGGCATGTTATATGTGCAATAGGGTTTAGGAAATTTAATTTCGCCTGTACACAGGAGTGTGATCGTATATGCAAGTCATCATTAGAATCCCGATTTACATTTTGAGTTTCAGCATTACAGCTGTGCCGTAAGTTTAAGAGCAATTATAAATGACCGATATATTCTAGATTAACAATCAGATTGAACGTTTTGGATTAGGTTCCATCGAACGCACAGTAACAATAACTCATGTCTTAACCAAACTTGCATGGGTCAAACCACTGGCGATGTATACACTAATTATTTTTTTTCTAATATTAAGATTTAAAAATATATTGTTTACTGAAGCTTTTTCATTCTAAAGTATTATTATGTCTTATAAATCCTCCAACATATTTTTCACAAATGCTCATTACAAGTGTAGGGACGGATGCTATCAGACAAGATCCTACTGCATATAACCTATATTTTCAAAAAAAGTGCCGAGTACAGGTCTAAATTTGCAGCCCTCCAAGGGCAAGTGTTGGCGTATCAATATGAGAAAAATTCTGATCTGTAACGGATAACGGACTCTGATCGATCTCATAGACATAAAAATATGAATTGTAAACAGGGCAAAAAAATTGACCCCTAGAAACACCAGAGGTGAGATCAGGTGCCTTGGAGAAGTAAGCATTCCTTGTCGACCGGTCTCATACGAAGTAACCCTCTGTATTGATCAGGCAAACGGAGTAATCAGAAGTCAAAATTAGTATAAAACAATGACCTAACAATTGGTAGGAAACATATCTGCATTCAGTCAAAATTTGATCCAGGGATTAGGTAGAATTTGCAAACGAGGACATAATAAGAACCATAGAATCGGCAAAATGCTGACTTTAAATGAGATTGTTGAAAACCCTACACCATCAACTTATTTGACTATAACTGCCTCGGCTTAAAAATTTGATCGTAGTCGGAGCATGCTCTTGCGTACCGAATCAGCTGGGAGACATTGAAAATAACATCATATGCAGGTGAAAGGGGAATGTTACTACCGTATAAGTGGATTTTAAGCGAGATGCAAATTTAGCGATTTATCCCCCCCCCCCAAAAAAAAAACAAGTAAATATTTTTAGCGAGAAGTAATTTTAGCGATTATATAATGTCAAGAAAGATATCTATTATAACAACTGATATGGATTTTTTTTAGCGGTATTCAATTCTATAGCGATCTCAAAACCCTCGCTTATATAATGCCAAAATTAACTCCTCGCTAAAAATTCTGCTTATACGGGTACATAGAAAGGAAAGTTGACGATGGAAACCTGAAGTCATCTTGTTTGTCATAAAGTTTAGTTTTTACTTGGTCAATAAAGTCTATAGTGCATAAAATATCCAAATATGAACCAGATGTACATGATAGACTCTGTGATGTCTTTGATTTCGAGTTCATAGGGATATAGCTCTGCCAAGCCCTTATCTTTACTCCTCACAAAAATATCAACTGCTCTATCTAGGAGAAACTTCCAATGTACTTTGCTACAGTATATTCAAGAAGTGGTGTAAATCAGGGGCCCATTTTACAAAAGAATTTACGACTACGACCAAAATTGAATTCTGTTTATTACTTTCTGTTTTACATTTATTTGAAAATGGTTTTAATTTTTTAAAAAGAATATACTGTAACAATATATTTTTATGCTATCAATTTCAAACAGTATCAATTTTGCAAAATTTAACAATCAACTGAGTTTTTTTTGGTCTTAGTCGTACGTTCTTTTGTAAAACGGCCCCAAGATGTGGATTCTCAAAAACTCCATAAAAAAATCAAAATCGCCAAAATTTTCAAAGGCCAGTTAACATAAAAACGTATGACTTTTCTATATTTTATACAACCATTCTTCTTGATAAATTACAAACTACACTAGTGTAGGCTTTTTGATATCACAGACAATTGCTCGGAACTCGGAAATTTTCATTTCTTGTGATCGGTCATCAACAAAATTACAAAATTACTCTGTTTAAAATCACTTTAGTTCTACCCACGAGTATTCTGTAGTTGATATAAAAAGGATACTGGAGTTCCTCATTGACAATATTTTTGGAGTCTTCAGAGACCAGTCTTCCAACAAACTGTTGAAATTTTCGATAGGCACTAATTGTGCACCTTTATTAGCCGACCTGTTTTTATATTCCTATGGAGCAGAATCTATTTAAAAATCTTCTACAGAAGAAGAAGAAAACACTTGCTGTGGCCTTCAACTCGACAGTCAGATACATTGACGACGTTTTATCAATTAACAATAGTTATTTCCATTCATATGTCGACTAGATATATCCTAATGAAAAATAAAAGACACCACAGAGTCTGACACATATGTTTCATATTTGGAAGTTTTACTGACGATAAAGACCAACTAGCAACTAAATTGTATGACAAACAAGATCACTTCTGCTTTTCTATCGTAAACTTTCCTTATTTATGTAGAAATATTCCGCTACCACCTTCATATGGAGTTCATGTCTCCCAACAGATCATGCCCTGAGTACGACCCGTTATGATTCCTCAGTTTACTTATATAAAATGATGGCTTAACGCCCAAAATTGTTTTTATAACATATGCAAACAATTTTAGCAAAGCTTGCGGCACAAATATTAAATCGGTCAGAAAAAAGACATTTCTACTTGACATTTAAAAAAAGGAATAATAGTTTCAAATTTTTGTTTTAGACAAAGACCCAAACTGGGTATATGAATACATATATGAACACAACAAAATAAATATAAGCTGGAATGGACATTTATCCTGTAAACAGCTGATCTCTTTTTAATAACAGACTATCGATAGGCCTAGCTGCAGATCTGTAATTCGCTGGTCTGAAAAAATTGGGATGGACGACAGATTTCAGCCACAATGAAGTAAAGCAAGAGTTTTTTTTTTTATCTGACCACCCATCCAGAAAATATATATTAGAACAGGCCCATAGGAAGCAATTTCAGTTGGGGGGGGGGGGGCACAGCCATACATTCATACATTTTTCAGTTGACAGTTGAGTAGGCAATACCAAAAATTTCCTGACAAACAAAAAAAAAAAAAAAAAAAAAGAAAAAAAAAGAAAAGAAAAAAAAGAAAGGTCATCAGACGTTTTTATTTAGGGGGCACATAGTATCTATGTTTACTATGTAATCTATATATCGGCAAAATTATTGCCCCCCCCCCCCCCGGTTCCTACGGCCATGTAGAATAGCAAATACTTAGGACTGAAGTGCTTGTGTAAAAACATATTGAAAGAAATCCGTATTAATTTCTTTCTGTCATATAAGCAGTCAAAAGATACGTATTAGAAATTATAATCATAGGCGCTTGATTTCAGGATGGGGCAATTTGTATTATGTGTTTTTCTAGGTGTATCTGAATACACTCATTAAAATAAAAATTAAAAATCGCTGAAATTCGCACGTTTAAAAATGTCATATAACTGTATCTAAAAAGATTGTATTTCTTTTTTTATATACAGTTATGTGATATTTTTAAACGTGTTTTAAATTCAGCGATTTTTTTATTTTTATTTTAAAGAGTGTATTCAGACACATCTAGAAAAAAAAACATATAATATCCTGAAACCAAGCGCCTATGATTATAATCAGAGACATGGTTTTATATGTCTCTGTTATAATATACAGTTGTATAATATCAGTTCCTTTTGTATGTGCATTTGCCATAAAATACTTTTTTCAATTTTATTATCGAGAAATTAATTGAATTCACGCAGCCACGGCCTGTATTTCAACCCTCTCCAAGGGACCTATATACTAAACTATATAAGTTTTTTTTAAATTGATACTTTCACACATATTACAAATACATGTACAAACATATATGTAGATATATGTACAAACAGAATCCGAATAGAAACTAATTTTAGTTGAAATTTATTCAAACTCTGTGTAAAAGTTTATTGAGAGAGAGAGAGAGAGAGAGAAGCTCTAACTTTACGTTATTGTCTTGAACATATTCAGTTTCATTTAAGCTCGCGATTGAAAAGAAAAAGAGAAAGAAAAAAAAGCTAGAACAGTGCAGTTTTGAGGGATTCACTTGTAACATATTAAAGTGATTGCCAAAAAAAAATTAAAATATAACAACCCATTTCTGCCAGGAAGTGTTATAGTCAGTAAGTTTTTTTATCATCTTTTACAGTGTATTTCAAAGCTGTAAAATAGGATTTAAATAGATTTAGAAAACCCTGAATAGATGGACAAGTATTCCGACAACGAACTTTATAAATGTAATGCTTCATTAATATCAACATAGTGTTAAAATATTCAGAGATTTCATTATCATCTTTTTCACCAAAAATATAAATGACTTAGCATTTAAATTCAATTCAATGTCATTTGCTTGACAAAGACTAATATTTTTTTTTAAAAATTGCTGAACAAACATACAGTCCCAGATTAAATGATAAACTGTTTCCTCTTCTTCTTCACAAAAAGTATAGGACTTAGTGTCAGCTTTGCCCATTTTATACATGAGACTATTGATAGTTAGAATATGATGATTAACTCTGTATCGAAACCATTGTAATTTACGATCATGAGTCACGAGGAATGGAAGATTACAGTTTCCCATTGCACATCAGTTATTATATAAGTTAGTATATAGGTCCCTGCTCTCCCTAAATATAAATCTGCATATCATTTATTAACGCAGTTATTTTTCCGGAAATAATGTCCTTACAAATACCTTTTACGCGTTTTAGTCGCATGACAAGTTCCGGTGATATGAGTGTGTTGACTTTGGTTCTGGTTCACTTCAGATTTTGGATAACTTTGGGTCATAGATAGACTTCGAAATGTAACATAACGATGTTTTCGGTCTTATGTGATATCATAATGTATGAGATATTTCTAAAAACACAATCAATATATCAAAATAATGTTTTAAAAGTTTGATGGAAATGAAACAACGTAAAATGTACCAGTGTGAAATTTGTTGAAGTTGGTAAGCATACTATAGTAAGTCACGTGCATGTGATCATCAATGAATTCAATAGAAATAAAAATATTGTTAACTGGTTGCTGTAGCATTCTACGATCTCTGATATAGTTAATGTAAATGTAGCAGACCTTTTAGATCACTTGTCTGAAAAAAAAATCGTCTTTAAATTTTCAGAACGACTGAGCTTCAAATTTGCTGTGATCTGCTCCTCAGATTGGCTATAATTGATATTTTTATTACATGACAGTCTGTCACTATTCAAGTGTTTGTTAGATCAGAGATCAGTAGTTAAACAGTTGTTTTACATAGACTTTTGCTGATTTTGTATCGATTCTCAATCTGATAGGCAAAGTTTACGTCAGTTGATTGTACTCATGGATATTTCCAAAGTCTGTGTACAAAATCTTGTTGAATTAGACAATTCCTGATCTACAATTATTGGTTTTTGCACCATATTCTGGAAACTCCAGGATCTTTTGTTAATGAATCTGGGTGGTTTCACTCTGATTACCTGTTCACACTGAGTGGTTTTGCCCCATTTCCTTGTTCACCTGAGTGGATTCGTCCTGCATGGTTCTCTCCAAACATACAGTATACTTGATATTTATTTAAGCAAAAGTTGTTTGATCAGTGGATATTTAGATTAACATAATTAACGAGCAGTTTTATTTAAATTCAATTATAAGTTGCTGATCAATAGACCTACTAAATAATTATTTCCAATTTTACGATGATACAAACTTCTCTTTATAAATTATTATCATGGGAAGAAAACTTCATCTATGTTTAAATGTGTAAAATAAATAAATTTGGTTTAATCAATTCATTCTATTCCAAAAATCTCCATTATTCTGAAATTTTTACCATAATTTTAAAAATGTAATCAACTGATCAAATAGATGTACTATGTAGATCCTTTTAGATACAATAAAAACCTTTCCCATAGCTCAGACACAAAAATCCACAAAGAACATTGGAGAGTTGTCATAGTAAACTGCCAAAATCCACACTTGCAAAAATTTGACACCTTTATTCACAGGTTACAGGTATAATAGGGGCAAAACCACTCAGAGTGAACATGTTATTGGGGTGAATTAACCCACCTGTTACCTTTGTTAATTACCCTCCAACTCAGATGTTTCATGACATTGTACTTTAAAGATTCTCTTCATTATATGAACTCAAGAGATTGATTATGATGTTTCATATTCATTTTCAGAATTTTTGTCTCTTTTATTTTTCAGAGTGTAGAAAACATTAAAAGAACAAAAATGCCATACACAGACTGGAAATTACCACAAATAACAAGGATGAAACTGATGTGGCCATCGCGAGTGACGACACTAAGTGTTACGCTAGGCATGGCAATAATGGGAATGTTGGCTTTTTATTTCCGCTACCAACGGAAGATCAAAAAGAAAGAATTGAAATCACCTTCAGAACAAACTTCCAGGAAAAATAATTTACACTTGCCAAATGGGGGTTAGTAATTATGCATAAATCCCCTAATACCTCCCCCTTATAATGCTTTGTTTTACCTGTCAAAAATTAGAAAATTATTTTTAAAAATTTATTTTGTAGCCCTTTTAGTTACTAGAAAATGCATTTATCTGTATATTGTAGATATACATTCATTTATCTGTATAAAATAGATATCAATTCATTTATCTGTATATTGTAGATATCCATGGGCATACTTTTGGCAGATATACAGAGAGCCCATCTTCTCTTCTGAATTCCTTAAAACAGAAGTCTTTGTCAGGTTCTGTGTCCAGTATAGGTGGCGCCTCTTCTGCTTCTACAATAACCCACCAGCTAGTTGACACAAGCAGCATGTCACCAACACAGCTCTGTAAACTAGGTAGGAATATAGGGTAAATAACTACTTTAACAGTAAGACGTAAATGTCCATGTGTGAATGTCCCAGTTTTTATCCCTTGAAGTTGTTACAATAAGACTTATTAATTTTTTCAGGTTTTGAAACACTCCAGCAAGCTGTGGTATATTGGGAAGATGGTTTAATGAAGTTATCCTTTAATGAAGATAGGTCCAAACCAGCAATATTGGTTAGTAGGGACATAATAAATCATAACTTACATATAAACAGATGGCATTCTTTTTTAATCTCATGTTCCTTCCTAGAAACTCATACAAACAGAACATTTAAATTTGCCCTTCTAACTAGAAATAGCTGTCATTTGTCTCTTACAAACTGTAGCCTTAAAAGATAATTTTTTGGTTGACTAATGGTGAACAATTTCATCAACTGTTTTGTAGAGAATTTATATGGAGCTTGCTAAGGAACATGTATAGAAATACCATCAGAATGCTTGTTAGCATTTCTTCTTTAAATACTGTAGAAGAATATTTTTTTTCCCAAATTAAAATGTCATTTGAGCAGAAGACCAAGTTTAAATATTTTCCTTCTTTCAGGATCCAGAGACAGCGGAGTTGCAGCATCAGATGGACCAACTGCTAGATGCCGCTTACAGAATGATTGATAATTTTGAACGGCGTGCAGAACGACAAGCTGACAGTATCGCCCTGGAGTTAGCTATGGCGGCATACACGGAGACTGACATACAGTCAGAGAGAACAAAGAGCTTTGATGCAGGGTCTCTTAGTGACCAAGACTCCTTTGTCTCCGCTACAGATGTTAGTATAGTTATATAGTTTGTTTTAAAGCAATATGAGCTGCATTGTTGAGCATTTTACTTTGCTGTTAAAATGTGGTGTTATGAAAATTTTTTATGTAATTTAAACATTTATGATCAATTAGACTTAAATAAAGTATTAAATTCTTTCAGAAGAAAGGTTTCTGTACAATGGAATGTATAGTATAATATAAGAAATAAATATTGTACAGGAAAACAATAATGTAATTTTGCTTTAGGGTGAATTCACCATGCATCGGACACCCTCGTTCTTCAACAAGATCTAGCGATATCGCTACCGGCCGAATATTATCAAAATGGAACTTAACATGTAGTATGTGGTTAAAATATAAATTTTTGATACAAATATATGCTATTTATTGAGAAATTATCACTAAAAACCATTTTTTTCTTAATGTGCCAGATTTCACCATGGATCGGACAATATTCACCATGCATCGGACAAACGGTATTTGAACCGGAAAATTGTCATAGGTTTATCTCGGTGCTTTGAAATTAGTGATCTTGAAATAATTTTATCTTTTATTTCAAAATTAACCTTCTAGTTAAATTTGATTGACTACATCGATCCACAAATGAGGAGAGTTTTTAGTTGCATCACATTGCACTAGAAAGGCTTTACAATGCTATTTACATGTCAACTTGTACGTTGGTCTCGTGGGTTATCATACTCTGGTTTGTAAAAATAAATTGAGTCTAATTCTAGACGTCATATATCGATAACTTGTATATTCACTAAAAATTTAGAGTTTTTAATTTCTATTTCCGCAAAAAACAGATGTCAGTTGGGTTCTTTATGAAAATAGAAGTGATTACCCATGCATCGGAAAGTGTCCGATGCATGGTTAATTTGTGTCCGATGTACGGTAAAATGAACGTACTAGTAAAAAACAACTCTAAAAAATTATACAAACATGGAAGTGAAATTTCTTTAAAAGTTCTGTAAAATTACCAATCATTAACAAATTTCACCAAAGCCCCACTCATTCCGTTGAAGTCTAATTAAAGAACGACAACTCTAAAAATTTGCAAAATCATAAAATTCTGGTTACTCCCCTTTGATGATGTAAAATATGACGTAACTTCAAGGCCATTCTCGGAGTATTTTTATCGCAACATGATAATAAAAATCGGCATCAATAAAAAGTTTAAATCTTCAGCTTCAAGACAGAAACAAGTAAAAACACGGGATCACTCAGATTTAAAGAAAGTTTATTGCTTGAAGTTGTCCGAAGCAAGGTATGTGTCCGATGCATGGTTAACTCACCCTAATCAAAGCTTATAAATAGTTCTTCCATTGCAAGTGTGAACAACAGAAGTTTATAAACATATTTTTTTCTGCCATTGAAATAGTTAAATTACAATATTGCAACAAAAATTCCAGACCTCAAAGTTGCAACTCATATTGCTTTAAAACTGCATTGTGCTAGCTTTATTATTATTTTTTCTTTATCAAAGAGTGATGTCAAATATGAATTTTTTGTAAATGTTAACTACATGTTTTAAACAAACTTTCATTTTAGATGGCAAACTTATCAGATTTAGATAACCACAGAGAAATGTTTCAGCATCTTCCATTATATGAAGCAGGTCTCTTAGAATTAAAACATGGCCATGTGCCCTGCAGGACTCTAAGGCAGGATGTTAAGTTTTACATTTTGATAATTAAACATTACAATACTTAAGTAATTTTTTCTAACTTTTAAATGTTTCTGACAAAATCATGGCTGCTCTTTTAGTATTTTCTTTCTCAGAAGCTACAATGTATGACTGGCATTCTTTAACCATTATTGCTATTTAATGTATTTGATCTTTTTAGGACAGAGATGACACAGTGTATTTCAGACACAGAGTTCTTGGCAAAGTTACACTGTATCCGTTTAGCTTTCAATGTATGTACCTCTTGGTAATGATTTTCTCATTTCCACTCATGCCTATAATTAAAACATGGGTTAAGAGTTATATGAATTAATATAGTACATGTAATATTGTTCACTTGCTATCTTTTAGGTTATATTTAAACAATCAAGCCAAAGAGATTACTTCAAAACCATGGGAAAACAATTAATCGGTGATCTGCTGATCAGAGCTGATAGGGTAAGAACAAATTGATCTACTACACAAGTTTAGTACCTTGGTCAGAAGGTCATGGCCGTGACTGACCTAAGACCTAAAAAATAGGTAGCAACTGTTCCTTCACCAAGCGCTCAGCACTTTGAAGTGAAAGTTGTGGGTCCTTCGGATGAGATGTTAAAAACCGAGGCCCTGTGTCACGGTAGGTGTTAGCACAATGAAGAACCCTCACTGCTCAATGGCCCTGAGTGCTGAGTAAAGGTCTAAATTTGCATACAATCAATCAATCAATCACAAGTTTAGTAAGATAATGAGCGAGATAACAGTCTTAACATTGCCTACTAGTATGTATGGAAATGCTTGGTGTGTACTTGTCCTCCTAGTTGTCTATGTGAAGAAAGTGATGTCTTCTAAGTTACCAGGCTAGCTTTTACATTTGTTAATTACTATTCCTTATTTCAAGGATCCAGAGGAATTCTACACTGCATATAATGCAATGGTAGATTTTATTGAAGTGGAGGATAATTGGCTCAAAATTGAAGAAGAATTAAAAGGACGTGGAGTAAGTCAAATTACTGGAATTATCCTTCGCACTAGTACATTTGCAATATACAGTGAAACCTGTCTAATTCGACATGCACTGGGAGACAATTTTATGTCGGAATAGACAGGGTGTCAAATTACACAGTGTAAAAATCACAGAAAACAGTAAAATGGTAATGAAAATAAGGATCAGAATTCACAGTGGAACAGATTGCACAGGTGTCAGATTAGACAGTTTTCATTGTATTTGGATTCATTTTCTATTGATCACTTCTTAGGTATTAAGGTAAAAGAAATTCTTCAGTTTTTGGGGCTTAAGGACATATGCAACGTACCTTGCCTGCTGATAATTTTCAAGATATTCTTAATTTAAAATTATAGTGCCATCAAATATTCATAGACAAAAAACCAGCATGCATTACCAGGGGTTTTGAAAAGATATCAATTGATGGAAATTTTTGTATAATTCAAAGAAAAATATACCAAATTTACTAAACATATATTCTAGATGTTTTGTTTATCCAAACTTGCTTTAGAAGAAGTGTACAACAGCATGTATAGACATTAAAATGTAGCACACAGTTCCTTTAAGTATCGGAACTCTTCAACTCCAGGGAAAAAGACAATATAGTTCAAACTACGTTGTGTATGTCCTTAAGTATAGTTGAGTGATTAATTGAAATTCTTACTTGTGATACAAATTATCTGTTTTCCTGCTTGAATATTAGTAAAATTACAACAGAAAATTCACAAATCAACAAAAGATTATTTTTATGTAAATGTGATTTAATTGTACATTACTTTTTAGGTAAAATGCATGTCATTTTATGACATAGTATTAGATTTTATTCTGATGGATGCTTTTGATGATTTGGAAAATCCACCATCATCTGTAATTGCTGTTATACAGAACAGATGGTTATCAAATAGCTTCAAAGAAACTGTAAGTATTAGTTCTCTCAAACGTTTCTCTATGATAATAAATTTGAACTCATTATAATATTTATGTTCTTATGTGGATGTATTCAAAAAATGAAAAAGTGCATTAGTACTTGTCAGTGTTTTCTTTGACAGGCTCTCTCAACAGCTGTTTGGTCTGTTTTAAAAGCCAAACGACGTCTATTGAAGGTAGGCAAACTGACAATTTTAATGATTTATGTAATAAGGTATGAGGTAGTCTTTGTATAAACTATGCCAGTTACAACTAACATTCAATGTGGCACTCAGTTTTCAGATGGATTTATATCCAAGTTTTACTCTATTTCTGAACACACAAGTCCAGTATTAGCCTGGGGTTTCATGGGACCAGAATCAAATCTAAAAGAATTATGCATGTTTTTTAAGGTAAGCTTTCATGCAGTTCAAAGCATAGAGACTAGAAATTTATCTACACAACAGCTTATTAAGAAAATTTTAACAGAACATTTAATCCTGTCAAACTTAACTGGAATGACTTCGTGTATGAGAGTAACCTAAATTGATCATTCTTGAATGATAGTAAGCACATACAACAATACAAGAATATATTCTTAAAAATATCAGGCATTAAGTACTGTAATTCTAAGTGGTCCTCATATTGTAGTGGTCTACATATTGCATTCTAAGTGCAGACACAGTTATTAAACATTTATTTATTCCACCTCTCAACTCTGGTATGGTGGAATATACCTGGTAACCTGTCTTTCCTCTCATTTGACAGGAGTCGGTATTGAGGTTTCTCAGGGACATGTTTAGTTTTGAGTATGTCCGTTACACAACAGTTGATGAATTAGCAGAAGACATTGCTCAGTTGTTACAAAACAGAATTGAAGAAGCAGCTGACAAGATCTCTCCAGAAAAGTTGGAGTTTTAAAAACAGGATTGGACTTTAAGCCATTCTGTTACAGTTTTTAACTTGAGTTTTTTAATCATCTGTGATTAATTTATGGAGCCGTTATGAATACACCAGGAGTTTTAACTTGCCAGAGTAAAAGGCCTCAGTGAACTTATCATTTAGAATTTTGTCCTGTCATCTTTATATTCATTCTTTTTTCAAAATCTTCCAAACTCATGGACTAAATATATTTTGTCTTATTTTGATGATAATATTGAAATATTAAGTAAATTCTTTGGAAAACCATGACTCTTTGGGTATCAAAAATGAATACGTCATTTTCTCTAGGAGCAAAGCTAGGTAGATGAGCATTGTGGCACTTGGTTCTCTGGTTCAAATAGTGTGATAAATTAGGACGAATCATGTTTTTAAGTGTTTTTAGATCTCATTGTACTTAAATGCCATAGTAATATACTGTAGAAGACTTAATTTTATACACTTGTTTATTAATTTCCAGTCTATTAAAAATGAAATGTATATTGTTTTACTGTCTTTATTAGTACAATCATATAATGATGTGTTGTTGTAAGCAATATGAAGCTCATGTTACATTATGTTTAATGAATAAAAAGTGATTTTTTTGTAGTGACTTCAGTTGATGGTTTCAACTCTGATAAGACATTAATTCACCACACTGATAGATGACATATAACTTGATTCAAAAGTAACACAAATATTTGATGATTTATGAAACATGGATTTTTTAAAAATGATTTTTACACTCTCTTGTGCAGTAGCAAAACAGCATTTTTAACATTAACATATTTGTAACCAGTGCAACTTCTATAAAACATTTAAATTAAATTCATGTCACATCAGATGGAAAAACAAGGCCACCTTAAAGACCGCAATTTCTTGTTTTCTGGGCACTTCTCAAATTTAATTACTTGATCTCTCCAGGAGTTCAACAGTGGGATCTATTTTTCAGGTATTGGAATGGTTATTGGAGGGCACTTCCTCTATAATGACCCTTGACCCTTTCCTTGTTCCGTTAACACCGTTCCGGTTCACGTGTCCTCCGTTGATATAGTGAATGGCACCAGAATCGGGGGCTGGGGAATCACTGGCTCTGTGAATAATTTTAAAAAATTAAAGATCGTTTTCTACATAGAACCACTGCGCTGCTAAGCGTACGTTAACTCTTTGCAGAATTAGGGTCATACGCAATGTACCTTACCAATTAACGATTTCTCAAGATATTTTTAATTTAAATTCATAGTACCATCAGATGTTCTTACACAAAAAATCAGCATACAGCATAATTAAGCATTAATAAAGGTCCTTTAATTATTGGAACTCTTCAGTTATACAGGGAATGAGAAGTAAAGTTCAAAACAAAGTTCTCTTTTTTCCTTAAATCCTAAACAGTCTCAATTAAATTAGATAAAATATCATTCGGTACTTTATGGAGCGGGATACGACTCCTATTCATACGGGAAAAGAAATGGAAACTAAAAGATTACAAAAATAGATCATGTCTCGGACAGTGATTTTATCTGACATAAAATGTTCAAGGATCGTTATACTAATTATCCGATCGTAGAGGTGCTTGTTAGAAAAGTCTTATATAATCTTTATTGCCCAAGACATACATCTTATACTGGGTAGCATTGAGCAAATATAACAAACATCAAAAGACACCCCCTCAAGGACAAACTGAAAATTTCGGAGCTTGCCGACGAATGGAGACTCGCGAAGTCGTAATAGGAGCTTGGGAGTTGTCTATTCAGAGAATTAGAGAATTATCATTTTGCAGTCTTTCAATGTCAGTAGTATGTGCGAGATGGATAATTTGCTTACCAACTAAAAATCAAATATGTCGATTCTCTGCGTTAATAAAATATTTAAAATATTCTAAAGGTAAGAAGCATAATTCATGAACAAATAAATTAATTACGTTTTGACGTCTTGGACGTTGCACCGTCAACTACAATATAAGATTCATCTAAGAGGAAAATGTTATTTATAGAGATATTTCGTTGACATTTTTATATACATGTAGCATTCAAAAAATGTTAAAAATGATGCATACCAACACTTAACTTCATGATTTTAATGAAACAAAAAATATTAAAAATGTTGGCGTTTTTCTGGGACAACCGTCGTATTCGGTACCTTCGGCACAGGAATATTATGATGAGAACCAGCACAATAGTGACCGCTAGACTGGCCGCGACGATCCCTCCTGCAATCGCCCCGTCATTGGTCGGGTCTGTCATTGGGCGCTGAGTCGGCACCTCCACACCTCAATTAAAACGAAAGTTAAATTTAGTATGCTATTTTGCTATTTCTTGGAGTAAACTTTTTTCATAAACGATCATTTTTCAGTGTGAAAAAGCAAGAGCATGTATTTAATTTCGATTGTAGGAAATCTTACAAAGTTGATCCAGAGATGATATGTTCCATGTTCCTTGACATAAAATTGCCGACATCGTTGGCCGAAAGCCAGAATTACACGTGTACGTGCACTTAATACCAATGTATGGTGCACAATCCGGATTTACTTTTCCATTAGGAATAACTTCTGGACACTTAACAACTACAAAAGAAAACAATTGCATGTACATGTATTTACACACCTTTACCATTTCAGTCTATGAGAAATCATTACTTCTCAAAGAGATGCGTTAAGAGGTAATTATATATCAGTAAAAAAATTCTTTTTTTTAAGTATATGGATAAAAACTTTGGAATGAGTTTCCATGACTACCTCCTTCACAAGTTCGTTTATCTTTCTGAAGGTCCACACCATCTGGGCATGCGCATTTGCGACCTTTGGCTGTTGGTAAACAAAACGTGCTGCAGCGGCCATTAGAAACAGAACATACACTATGCACTGTGGAAAACATTTAAAATATGTACATTTTGCGAGAAATATAAACTAAACTTTAATCACATACACAACTTACTAGTGGTATTCAGTGTGCTGTTAAAACCATTGTTTCCAGGAGCTGATTATTTAAGCATTAAATCATTATTTTTTGAAAGATGTATAGCCTCATAATTGCAATGGTGTGTGCAAACAAACTGAGTAACGAGCATTAGTCTTTGTTCTTTAGTAAAAGTGTTTTTGTCATATACGTTTTCCAAAGATGTTCCCTAAGTCGATGCGAAATGCATGGAAATCAATTCCAAAGACTGCAATCGATCATCACTCGAAGTGGCATTTGAGCAGTTGAAAAAGAAACAGGTTGATGTTCTTTTTCAATCTCGGAACAATGCAATACTGCAACAAACTGGTAATCATGCCAGTTCAAAATGGCAGCGAATTTTAGTTTTACTATACTGAATTGTTAGAGATAGGCTACAAAGTTATGCAATTCCAATCAACTCATTCATTTACATTAAATTTTCAATTTCCAATGTATGTTTTTCTTCAGAAAATATAATAGGCATAGGGGTTACATTTCTGTAATGAAATATGGAGATAACGAACAGTTATCAAGCTCAAAAGTCCAATGAAAAACAATGCAAATCGGAAGCAGATCAATCACGGACCACGAAAAAGCAATAGAGATGGGATCAGGTGCCAGACAGAGATGGGATCAGGTGCCAGAGGAGTAAGCATCTTCTGTCGACGGTCACACCCGCCATGTGCTCATTGTCAGGATCGGGCAAATGGAAAATTCAGTGTTTAAAGAATTGCCTAATAACGTCAGTCAACATTCGATTAAATGATAGATTGTATTTGCTGGCAAGGTCATTGTATTGAACAATTAACTTGCGAAATGATGGCTTTAAACGAGACTGTTGATATCCTTGTTTCACCAACTTGTTTGTCAATAGCTTGCCTTGTTTTAGAAATTTACGTGGAACATGCTCTTGCGTATCGAATCAATTGGGAGATATAAACCCCATAAGCAGGTGATAAGGGTATACTGCTACTTATAAAAAGTAAAGGAAGTTGGTGAAAGAAAAGTTGAAATCATTATCGTAAAGTCTGGTCGGTAGGTTACCATTAAAGTCTTTTTCTAGTAAAATATTCAAATGTGAAACAGATGTGTCAGACTCTGTGGTATCTTTTATTTCAAGTTCATAGGCGTCGGAACCGGGGGGGGGGGGGGGGGGGCTTAGCCCCCTCCACTTTTTTTGGCAAAGATAGACATAATATAGGCATTGAAAATTGGAGCTTACCTTTTTTCGTTGGTTTAGCCCCCCCCCCCCCACACTTTCAATTAGCCACCCCACTTTCAATTTGCTTCCGACGCCTATAAAGTTCACTGGGATATATCGAGTTGATATATGAATGGAAGTAACTATTGTTAATTGATAATACATCGTCGATATATCTAAATAATTTATCTAAATAATTTAGATTTTCAGAAAAATTGTTAAAAATGTTAAATTTCAGGAATTCGACGATAGCCAAGTAAATTTAAAAGTGTCGCCAATTTGGCGACTTATGGAAAAATTTTAGGCACCAATCAAAAATTTTAGGCGCCATGGCGACTAAACTAGTCGCCAATTAGAGCCCTGAAATGTCGAGTTGAAGGACAACAAGCGTCTTTTTCTCATGTTTAAGTTTTTGAATAAATTCTGCTCCATATGAATACAAAAATAGGTCCTCTAAGAACGGCGCTCTATTTTATTACACTTCGGAATTCCGACAGATTGTTGGAAGACCTGATCTCCAAAAACTACATAGATATAATCAATTAGAAACTAAAGCATCGTTTTAACATCTACTTCAGAGTACTTGTGTGTACAATCATAATGTTTTTTTAACAAAATAATTTTGCAAATGATCAATAACAAGGTAAGTAAATTTTATTATAAACACATTAATTGCTTTTCTACCCTAACTTCAGGTATTTTTTATACAGCTGTACATCTCATGGTAGCAAAAACGTTTAAGCAAGTACATGCTACAACTTACGTGTTTTAATAAATCAGAAAATACTTAAGATTTGACAAAATTTTGCGCATTACCTGGTATTACTTCTTCTCCATATACTTGCAAAGACTGAAGTTTTCCAAACTCTGCAGAATAATTCATCCATGCTATCTCCTTAGCATTTGAAAGTGACGCTTTTGTTATTTTCCTGCAACGAAGGGGAGAAAAAATAAACATATATTTCGAGAATACAATTTTCATTCCTCCAAAAGCAAAGGCTTATAATGTTCTTATTGTGTTATACAATGTTTTCGAGTTTCACTGTTTTAAATATTTTACTTACTGGTCATCTAAGGCAGTGTAATAAATATGGTCTCCACTGATGTCGAAATGTCTGAACTTCTGTTTCCTGTCTTGGAGTAAAATACCCCTGTTTTTGCCGTCCAGATCACAATAATTTATTGTACCTAAATCCCCATCGGTCCAGTAGAGGAAATTATCTATTTTGTCAACACAAATATAAGCTCATTATACTGTCATACATATTTTTATCGATATTTTTAATTAATTCATTGTAAACATTCATTGAATTCAAGCAGATAGTAAAATTCGGTACATTATATAAATTTTCTCTCTCTCTCTCTCTCTCTTTTTTTTTTTTTTGATATAATTTATTTTGCTAAATATAAATCTGCATCGTTTCTTAAATACATCGCGTTGTAGATTTATATTTGGATAAAGAGGGAAGGTCGAACAGGACACCAATCAAGTACTTGCACTAAAACATATATTGCATGTACTTTTGAAACGGTATCTGTTCACCTTCAAGAAAAGCAAAATAACATAGAGATATGTGTAACTGAGCACTACAAGCTATAATAGTGAATTATTCACTTTTGTAATCCAGCGTCAAACTGTTCGGTTGTGAAATGTCTTTGTAAATGAGATTGATCATCGCTGACCCATCCATGTAGGATCTCCCTATATATGAAGCTGAGTAAACCAGGTCCGACCAAAACAAATACCTGAAATATTGAAAATGACTTTTTATATTTTCTTTTCGTTTCTAAAACATATGGTTTAACCATATGAGCTTTAATGTATTTCACAATGCTTATTCTGTGTAGAATGTGTAATCAGTTACCCTTTTTGTGGATGTATTGCTATGTTGTAGACAGAGGTTAATCCCGGTACTACCGTTTTTCTCTCCCTTGTTTCTATATTTAGTATTCCAATATAGGACTTGGTACTGACGGCTGAGTATATGAGATGACCAGTAGACGGGTCCATCACCAGGGCTTGAGGTTCAAATAGACCTATCATTGTAATAAATATCTAGTTGTTGTTGTGTTTTAATTTGACATTTAAGGACTATTTTAATATGATATCCAAGAGCTGCCTAAAATTTTAACCAAGTCTCTGACACCAAGAATTCAACCTATTTTAGAAACATCCAGTAATTGTTTCTGTTTAAAAAAAAATAAATAAGCGTTTTAGTTTTTAAAGACAAGATGTCATTATGAAAATAAGTTTTATTAAGCAGCGAAGGCAACATTTGGCCAACTTGCTATAGATATCTTTATCTGACAGAATCCTCTTTTACTTTCATCTATTGGTATTTGAATTAATTGGAAATTAAAATGTACCTGTATTAGTCAGAGCGACTGACTCACGACCTGACATCGACAATTGTCTAATCTCGCGGTACATCGCATCAGAGTAGATCAAATTGCGGTTGGGAGGGTGGAAGATTGCGTTCACTGGCCGAATTGTCTCATTTACGTCTATTGCAACAATATTAGCATCGGCCATTGACACTTGAAAAATGGTAGCGTGCGTAAAGTCAACAGTCAACACAAAGTCGCTCTGCAGTGGAACTAAAAGTACAAACTCATTAATTGTTAAGCGCTTGAAAACGTTTCAGTGTTGGATAATGTCATGTTCATGTTTCAGAAAATGAACATGAAGCACTGTTCTATATAACGTTATATTTATGAGAAATGAAAGTATTTATTTGAGACACATGAGCTCGAGGTATATATATCTGATTACCTTCTATTTTACCTTTTTTCCCTTCAAATTAAAATAGAAATTATCAAAAGTTAGTTACACTAAATGTACTAAACTAAATAAAGCTTCGAACTTACTCGTTTTACAAGTTTTTCGATCCTTCGTTAACCTATAACCTAGTCGACATTTGCATGTTCGGGTACCATTCAGTTTTGGGATACAAATATGTTCACAATCGCCATTACTCACATGACAGATATCTATGAAAAAAGTCATAACTTGATATTCAAAAATTATTGCAGTTATAACTGGTTGATAAGCAAGCATGTTCTCTAAACTAGACCTTTACATGCAGTCCCATATAGTAGCTTGTAGCTAGGTTGAAAAGTAAACGTTTTAGTAATTATGACATTAATGATTCTTTCAACACCGGAAAAAAAAAATTTCAGACGTCTTATGTTATCAAATATAGAAGTGATTTATACATTAGACAAAATTGCAAACGCACCATCACAGAAATTTCAAGTGTATTATTTACCTTTAGCAATTGGTTGTTCAGATTGATCGTAAACAATGGCATTAGTAAATAAATACGGCACATCTAAATGTCTGTGGATTCCTGGTGAATTAATGTTAGTTATGCGAACTTCGCCCTGGTTTTTCAATAGCAAGAGATAGTCCTAGAACAAAATATGAACAGTTAAAGGGACTTGGACAGATTTGACGTTAATATTATCTTAAAATTTACGGTATAATATCACGACTTACATGTTTCTATATCACTTCAGACCAATATATTACATTTGTATAAAAGAGCAATTAAAAACTTCATTTTTAAAACTACGAATTTCAGGACACGTTTGATTTACAGAAATCCTCGCACTTTCACGAAGTATAATCTCTTCATCACATTTGAAAACAAGATGTGTTTGTGAAACACTGATGCCCCCGTATGGCAGCTTATGGCGAAGGTTAAAGTTTCTCAAATGCAAGTCAAACTCCAGGTCAAGAAATCAAAAATGATGGTACCCAAAGAAAGGTCTTGTCTCAAGAAATATACCTGTGAAATATGAAAGCCCTAATGCAAACCGTTGAAAAGTGATGGCGAAGGTTAAAGTTTTTTTCAAAGTAAGTAAAAAGGCAAGGTCAAGGTCAAATGGTGCCCAAGGGAAGGTCTTGTCTCAAGTGATACACATGATCATGAAATGTAAAAGCCCTAGAACCAAACGTTCAAATGTTATGGCCAAGGTTTAAATTTTTCAAAAGTAGGTCAAACTCCAAGGTCAAGGTCAAAGGGTCAAAGTTGTTGGTATCTAAAGGAAGGACTTGTCACAAGAAATGCATATGTGAAGTATGAAAGACCTAACACCAACTGTTCAAAAGTTATGGCCAAGGTTAAAGTTTTTCAAAAGTGGGTCAAACTCCAAAGTCAAGGTCAAAGGGTCAAAGTTGTTGGTATATAAAGGAAGGTCTTGTCACAAGAAATGCATATGTGAAGTATGAAAACCCTAGCTTTAACTGTTCAAAAGTTATGGCCAAGGTTAAAATTTTTCAAAATTGAAGTAGGTCAAACTCCAAGGTCAAGGTCAAAAGGTCAAAGTTGTTGATATTCTAAGAAAGGTTTTGTCACAAGGAGTATACATATGAAGTATGAAAGACCTAGCACAAATTGTTCAAAAGTTATGGCCAAGGTTAAAGTTTTTTCAACAGTAGGTCAAACTCCAAGGTCAAGGTCAAAGGGTCAAAGACGTTGGTACCCAAAGGAAGGTCTTGTCACAAGAAATACACATGTGGAGTTTGAAAGCCTAAGCTCCAACCGTTCAAAAGTTATGGCCAAGGTTAAAGTCTCATAAAATTTTGCAAAAGTGGGTCAAACTCCAAGGTCAAAAGGTCAAATATGATGGTACCCAAAGAAAGGCCTTGTCTCAAGGAATACACATGTGAAATATGAAAGCCATAGCTCCAACCAATCAAAAGTTATGGGCAAGGTTAAAGTTTTTGCGGACAAACAGACAGCTCGACAGACAGACGGACGGACAGGGCAAAAACTATATGGCCCCGAATCTTCGATTACGGGGGCATAAAAAGTGGAAAATTTGTCGTGTATAAATAAAAAATATCAAAATTATAATCTAAAAAAAACTCAGAGAAAGAATGTTAGAAAGAAAAACAAACATACCAGCATTGTTATTTCATGTTCAGTGAAGTGTGCTGAGTTAGCAAATTGAACACACCCGGTAAAACGTAAACATTAACAATAACAGAGTTCGTGCCCATGTTTACAAATACAGATGTTTGACCTAACGTTATGAAAAATGTCGTTGTCATTGACTTTTAAGAACGTGCATATAGGTCCAAACTGAAGTTAATTTTTGAATAAAAATGGAAATTTGAAATGGTAAACAGAAACGATAATGCAACTGTGTCCAGGCCCCTTTAAAGACCCACAGTGGAATTATGAAGATCGTACAATACGATTGCTTACTATCTCTGCCTCATTTTGTGATGAAGTATTATACCAGTAAATTAAACATAAAGGAACACAATGCATGTAAATGCTAAGAATGGACATTTCACTTTAGAAAACAAATAACTTTGATATTTACCTTGTATTTTGTAAATGAAATGATGTTATATGAAGTATATAATTGTATCTCATTGGTTTCCAGATCCATGGAGTATACACCATCTATATCAACCCACCATAGCCTGTCAAACAAGGATACTTTTTCTAGCTTAAGATTAAATACGCATTCTTGAGATAAAAAGAAAAGAAAAAGACTTTTAAATTGTGAGTTTTGCTGTTGTAAAGTGCTAGAAGTAAGTAAAGATATATACAATTTTTACAAAATACCTATTATCTTTTATATCAATTGACAATCCGTTAGGGTTTTTAAGGTGCTTGGTATTTACAGCTATCCAGCGTTCCATTCCGTCATAAGATCCGGCCTCAATGATAAACGTTCCTACCACACCGCTGATCCAGTATAATGTTCTGTAGAGAAAATATTCTAGGAAAATATCAACCGTGTACAATTTTTCCAAGAAAGTTTAAAAATGATGTTTCCTTCTGTTGAACAGAAATGATACTGGTAAGTGTCGATGGTCTGTGTAATAAGTATAAGCAATGGCAACAATACAAAAGGAAAAGACGATACAAGACAGTTCTCTTAGGTGTGAAACCTGTAACAAAGCAGAGCAATATTTGAAATTTTTGTTTTGTTAAAATGAGGAAAATCTATTCAGAAAATTTCCAGACGGAAAATTTCACAAAACATGGACATAACTTTCAAGAAATTTTTCATTAATAGCTTTCTTCTTGGCCTATTGTGTTCAATTTTTGTATTCTTTTTTGACTTAAAAAGTATTTTTGTTTCCAATTCTAAATTGGACTATTGAAATAAATTGATTGTTTTTTCTTGTAATAGAATCCTAGTTGAAATATGAAATAATATTAAACAATACAAATCGGGAGCAAAGCAAACACGGACCTCAAAAAACCTCCGAGGTGAGATCAGAACCAATGGAAGAGTGAGCATCCCTGGTCGATCCGTCACATCCGCCGTGTGCTCCATGTCATGATGGGGAAAAACGGAAAATCCGTAGACAATTCAGTGTGTAAATAATGGCTTAACAATTAGTATTAGTAGACTTAATGATAGGTTGTATTTGCTAAAAAGGTCATAGTATCGACCATAAAACTTGCAAAATGATGACTTCAAACGAGACTATTCATATCCTTGTTTCATCAACTTGTTTGTCAACAGCTTGCCTCCTTTAAGATATTATTCATACATAAAGCATTCTCTTGCGTATCGAATCAACTGGGAGACAAAAACCCCATATGCAGGTGATAAGGGTATATTGCTACATAAGTAAGGGACGTTAACGATTGAAAAATTGAAGTCATCATGTTTATCATAAAGCTTTGTTGTTAGATTACCATTAAAGTTATTTTGCATTCTCATATCCAAATTCTATTCAATCAGATATTTTACTACTCTTAGGTATTCCGATTCTATCCATTTCTGATCCTATTCTAATGCCATCAAAATACTCCATTCAATCCTACCACACCCATTTAAAATAATTCTGCTTAGCTATTCCTCAGGTTTCATTCATCATATTTTATGTTCAAATATTCTTTTAATTTCAAGTTTCTGAAATAAAGACTATTCAGTACAAAATTCTTTTTTTTGGCACCAATATCTTCTAGTATTTCATTATCCCTGTCTTTGAAAACAAGTCAACCCTCAGGGTGTACTAAGTTCAACAGCACTCTGTGTTGATTAACTCTGTACCTGTTCAGGGGATTTATAGCAAGTGCAGATGGATGGTCAATGTTCTGAAAAACTGGCATCTCCATTGGAAACCTTTCATTTATAAACATAATCAGGCCTGTTTTCCTCTCTGCCCAGTAGATGTTATTGTTTAACCAATCCACACACAGGCCTTAGAATATAATGTTACATAAATTGTTACAAAGCAAATTTCATAATCAAGTAAAAAAAACCCATCAAAATAATGTTTTTAATCTATTAAAAAATCACGTGTTACATATGTTTATCCTCATTATTTTTTGGTTACATATAAACCATTATATCTCTGTAGCTAACAAAGACATCTATCCTTGGGTTGTTAAAAACCAGTAGTATATTATTCAATACTAAATACTCTAATTAGTAATATCACTCACCAGAAACCACAGAAACTGACAGCAGTTCTTTTATCAGCCCTGTGTTTATGTCCAACATCAATAGCTTCTCGTTATCACTTTCCTCAAAATAAATTTTATCATGACGTGTATCAACCGCAAAATGAGATATGGATTGGTTACTGTGTAATACACAGTTCACCTTTAATGGCAATCCGGTTAGTACAAGAACATCCACAAAGCAGATTGATGAAGAGTTCGATAACAAAAGAGATTTCTGGTGTAACATAGTATTTTCTAAAACAAACATAAAACATTTGTCAATAATTGTCCAATATATTGAGGGGTTTCCTAGTGGGTTAATAGATATTTCGTGTTTTGATAAAAATAAAGACCCATGAAATGAACAACACAATTTTAATGTTCAAATAGAGCATTTGTGAGGGTGGACAATGAAATGCTACAAAATATCTAAACAAAACCCTATTCACTTCCTGTGACGTCATACGTACGTGTACAGTTTATTCCATTCTCTGTCAGTGTGAGTCCGTCTGGACATAGACATTTGGCTACATCATCTCTGGGACCTACACAAATGAACTCGCAACCCTTTTCTTCACAAAGTTCTACAATGAGTGCAAAGTTTGGGTACATTTTTTTTTTTGCAAATGTTCAATGTCTTCAAAGTAAACACTTCCATCGATACGATCTTAATTATACAATGGATTTAACAAATTAAAAGATCACTCTTCATAAGTTCATAGTGGTGTACTAGCATTCAGTATGAAATGTTGGAATGCAAAGAATGCTTTTTTATGTTTAATGACAGTTGAAAGGCTTCTCTTTAAAATGAAAAAAAAAAACGTGAAATGTTGTGAATTTCCCAAAGAAATTGTTAATTTTACAATAAAACATTTTCAATTACGTGTTTCATTGCCTTGGTCCTTGTCTTTTATAAACCTCAGTGCCTGGGGGACCTTGTATTCGAACTTGCCATCCTTCGGCCATTGAAACAAATGTTGCCAGACAGTCTGTCCTGTTTGTTTATTTATGCATTCCACCAGGTAAGCAAACTGTATAGTAACACAAACGATGTTCTGAAAAAGTTAAACAACTGTATTGTAACACAAACGATGTCCTGAAATAGTTAAGCAAGTATGGTAACACAAATTATGTCCTGACAAAGTTAATCAACTTATGATAGCACAAACGATGTCCTGAAATAGTTAAGCAACTATATTGTAACACAAACGATGTCCTGAAATAGTTAATAGTTAAGCAACTGTATTGTAACACAAACGATGTCCTGAAAAAGTTAAACAAGAGTATGGTAACACAAACGATGTCCTGAAATAGTTAAGCAACTGTATGGTAACACAAACTATGTCCTGAAAAATTTAAGCAACTTTATGGTAACACAAACGATGTCCTGAAATAGTTAAGCAACTTTATGGTAACACAAACGATGTCCTGAAATAGTAAAGCAACTTTATGGTAACATAAACGATGTCCTGAAATAGTTAAGCAACTGTATGGTAACACAGTTGAAATCTTGGAAAAGTTAAGCAAGTCTATGATAACACAAACGATGTCCTGAAAAAGTTAAGCAACAGTATGGTAACGTATGGTAACACGGCTGAAGTCTTGGGACATAAAAGATACTGTATGGTAACAGAAGGATATTCTGAAATGCAATCAATTGCAAACTGTATGCCAACAAAACAATAAAGCAGCAAACTATATGCTAACAGATAAAAGGTCCTTAAAACACGGTAAGAAACTGTATATGGTAATATACAAAGATTGCCTGAAAAACAAAATAAGAAGTTATGATAACATGCAGAATGTCCTGAAGAAAAAAGGAAGCAACTGTATGCTTAAAACATGAGGTAGGCAAACTGCTCTGGCAAAACTGACATAGAGAAGTAGATTAGCAACTGAATGGTAATACAAAGGAGGTCTTTGGTAGAGCCTTTACTTTGTGCAGTATAATGGTCAATCAGGTCTACAGACGACTATTCGTCTAATCAGCATATACTTTCATTATCTTTAAAATATGCCTTCGGAGAGATTTTCTTTGGAGAACTGGTATAATGAAATATTGATGTGTTTGGGGAAATCGTGCGAATTTAATTACATTCAACGAGGAATTTTTATAAAAGGCCACTTCTCGATCAAAATATGGTCACAAAGATCTACAGTTCTCTACAGAACAATAATTTATTGTGCGTAATAAGATTACGTAGGAAATGTCTACATAATTTTAAGCCCTCTTTCTTGTTTCATTGACCGTTCACGGTAGCTCAGTCGGTAGAGCGCTCGCTCCGTGATCGGGAGGTCGTGAGTTCGAATCTCGGCCGCGACAGACCTAAGTCGATAAAAAATAGGTAGCAACTGTTCCTTCGCCATGCGCTCGGCACTTTGAAGTGAAAGTTGCGGGTCCTTCGGATGAGACCTTAAAAACCGAGGCCCCGTGTCACGGCAGGCGTTGGCACGATAAAGATCCCTCACTGCTCAATGGCCCTGAGTGCCGAGTAAAGGTCAAAATTTGAAGCCCTTCACCGGTATATGGTGACGTCTCTATATGAGTGAAAGATTCTCGAATGGGACGTAAAACAATATACAATCAATCAATCAATCTTGTTTCATTGTGAGATGGGTAAAAAATAGTCTAAACATCGGGTGCAAATCCCAATAGAGATGGTATGATTTTCCATCTCATGAATGTTTCCGTTATATTTCCGCATGAAATACAGTTCGTTTGAAGTTTTCTCAGGATTTCATACCTTTGTAAGCAAGTGCTGTAACGGCTATACCAGAATACTTAATAACAGATCCCAAAAAGCCGATTTCCTATTTCCGTCCTTGATTTGAAATCTTATCAATCAATTTATTACTTTGATAAATATTGATAGCTTGGGTTCATTCAATCGTTCAATATCTCATCATACTATTCAGTCCTTTTCTTAATTTTCAAATTTGTCTTTTTGTATTCTGTTTTGGTGGTGGTGGTGGGTCTAAGTTCAATTGAAATTATAAAGACCTCTCCCGTTTTCTCTCCTTTAAGGTCGTTTTAGATATCCTTCATCAATGACTTACTTGGTACAATGTAAGACCACTCATGGACATCAGTAAAGACGGAGATCTCTTCAACACTCTCCTGTCTGACCCGTCATATCCACACGTCTCCAGAGTTTCTCTTCCAATATCCAACCAAAAGATCCGCCTCTCTGTTTCATCTACGACAATATCAGTGACCAATAAAAGACCAGATTGCAACAGACTCTGGTCGCTCCCAGAAAGGGACGACTTCCATATGGCAGATCCCCCGCCATGTTCTGCAGACCAGAAGAGAAACCTTTGAATATAATTATTAATATCTTTAATGCATTTAATGCAGTGCCTTTGATTATATTAAGGAAGATCTAACCACTGCTAGGAGCAATAACTCTGACTTTATATATTATGAAACTTCAACAATGATTTGTCTTAAAATTTTCCTAGAATGATGTGATATATTTGTTCTAATTCGTTTTATCTGCATCATTGAATACTGTTCGTTATCTCCATTTTTCATTATAACCCCCCCCCCCCCAACCCCGGTTTCATATAAAAATAACCAATGTAATTATATTCGTATCCTCTTATTCCAGTCTTGGTGATCGGATGCATCTGTTAAATCGCCATTTTTATTATAAAGTGCATATTCTTTGAAAACAAATAAAGGTTATTTTCGCCAAAATAGGCGGGGAAATCATTACATTCTTATCATTTATTCATAGGCCATATATTTTAACTTCGAAACTATAGAACTGTTCCATTAGGGATTAGAGCTGAAATTCCATTTTAATCTTGATGGAGTATAAATAATACTACATTGATATACTAATTTATTTTCCGATGAACTCACCCATTAAGTGGATCAACAGCGATGGATTTCGGTGAAAGTAGACCATCTACCACCGTTTTCCTGTTTGAACCACCGACACCCTTAATTGGTTGTACAGTAATCCAGTTGTATGATGGATCCAAATGATAAATATTCTTTGATAGCCAGTCCACCGCTATTTTTGACGATGGTGATGAAAATGTGTTAATTACATTTTTAGTGAGTTTATCTGCTTGAACATTGTCAGAAAAGTTTTTTATAATGTACAAATTGGATGAAATATCGTTCATGAAGAGTGACTGATCATACGGATCGTATTTCAGCTCGTTGATATTTGTAATGTTTGAAAAACTGATTGGCAGTGAATGGTCTTTATTGGTAGACGTTTGAAGTGGAGCACGTATGTATACAAGATGACCATTGTCCGACCTGTCTGGGGCTAGGGATACGATAAGAGCATCCTCACATGTCCCGATTCCTGAAAATGTAAAAGTCATCAAGAATTTCTAACATAATATGCATGTAAATATATATCTACAACAAAAATCTTCATTTATAAATTGTAATCCATGTTTGGATTATTTTCTGAGCGTACACGTACATGTGCTAATTCTACTATTTTGGATAGTAGTGTGTAACAACCCCCTCAATGAGAAAAAGAAGCCACCACCCCCTCCTCCAATATGAAAACCAAAAATGGATATTTGTAAATATACAAAATAAAGTAAAGTTCAATGAAGAAAAAAATCAAACTGAATTTAAATGTTTTACTTCAGTCCTTCAACACATCAAATACATTTTTTCTGAATACGTATAACACTGACCTAAAGAAATACTCTTTTGCTAAGGTTTATCATATGAATGAGATAAAGAGAACCAGTCTGTAAAATAAATAAATAAATAAATTAATTAAAAATAAAAATGTTAATCTTACCTTGGTTAACAGAAAGAACTATTATAAAAGTAACAAACATTTCCACAATGGTACTAAAATAAAATCATATTAGAAGACAGTACATTCACGATAGAATCGGTGGCAATGTACATAACTGACCACAATTATTCATGTAACCATAAAATCTTTGTTATTACTTACTTCTATTTAAAGTTAATGGTTTGATGCTGATAATGTCAATTTTCGCTAAAAGCATGTCATAAAATTATCTGTATACCCGAACGATTGTGTGTAAGATATATGTTTCATTACGATGACAAATGCTATAAAATTTAATTGATCGAGATATATAGTTTGATTGTTAGATATACTCAGTGAATATCTATTCGGCATTGTTTGATACACTCATGTACAAAGATTATTGAAACAATGGAACAATACACTTAAAAATTCTATCATAATTCTGGAATTCAATCTTAAAGATTAACCCCCTTTACTAATTTACACAATGAAAGTAATGTAATGATTTTATAAAATGAATTTTGTTTATATTTTATGTTATGCACAGTTACATGTTTATATTTTATGTAATGCACAGACTTTGCATGTTCTTGTTGGTACATGTATTAAGGGATAAATAATCTTTTTTTTCACTTTTGAAACATGAGTTTTATTTTGGAGAACAAATCAAAAATTGTTTTGTGCTTTTCAAAGTAAGATTTAATACCTATGTTTTATTTGTATAGGACTGACAATCGACGATAGCAAGTCATGGGAAAACAAATAATGTTGGAGTCATTTGATCTCACGCAAACTCCTTAAATCTGTTGAAAATAAAATACGATCTCTAATCAACTGGTGCTTATAGTGGGAAACAATCACATCTAACTTTTATCTTTTCTGGAAGAAGTTGAGGATATCAGACATGTTCTCTAGAGAAGGTAAATGATTTTAAGCTTAATTCTAAGATAACTGAAAAATCAACCTAGCAGATAAATTTATTACCTACCGTAAAAATAATTTACATAGTGGTCAAATTGTTGTAAAATTGCATTTTTCTTAAAAAGGTACATAAAGAATGCACAGATGAGGATAGTTTCTCTCGTTGAGAATCATGCATTTAAAGTTGATGTCTACGTGTACAAAAATTTCTTTAACCAATACTTTACGAAGTTTCAAATTCTGAAAATACAGAATAAAAAGTAATAATTTGGGCATACACTTTTTATTATTGGTTTTTATTTTGATCGTAGAAATTTGAAATATTGGAAACCAAACCTTCTTACAAAATATCATTCCTCAAGACAATCAAATGTAGATCTTTTGAATTTTTTTTTTTTTTTTTTTTTTTTTTTTACATTTCCTTCCAAAACATAATAGAACACTTCCTACAACTAATGCTCTCTAAATACTAGTAACCTAATTGAAATTCATGGTTCTTGATTTTTTTCTTTCCACTAGACTTGCTGGTTGTCTTTGCGCTGTCTTTGGTGGGAAATTCTGTTGGACTATTAGCAGACACTACCGACATGTGTGATATTCTCCGAGTCATTGATTGCAATCATCATTACCATTCCAGCGGAGACGAGACACTGTGTTGTACAGACGGACACACTTACAGTAACAAGTACACATATTATAGATAAAATACATGAAGTATTAATATGGGAAATTAGATATCAGCACTTGATATTTTATTCTGACTTCAAGATATAAACTTTCAATAAAATTCAGCCATCATAAAAAAGTTATACTAGTTATTTTTTTAAGTTAAAAGAAGGAAAGAAAGAAAAACTTCTTGTGATCTATAGTTTTAGAAAAATGGAGGGAAAAAAGTTGCAAAAATAAACAAACTGTTATTATCCTGGCACGATTCTAATGCGCAGAATATGGAATTCTACTTTTCTTGGGCTTATAAACACATAGGTGTAAAGACACTAGAACCACGGTCTTCTTTATCATATCAAGAGTAAAGTGGACTAGATTCACCCCAATCTCATTCCTTTAAACCTCTGACCAATAAATACCAAATTGAAGAACGGGTATTTTTTGATTTAGATACTGGAATCTTGTGCCCTAACAAGAACATGGTCTATACTGTGATTAGTGATGACTGATTTATGGGATTTTGTTTTATCTACAAGTCGAATAAATCTTCAGTGTAGTTTTCCAGAGAAAAAGAAAGTTACAAGAATATTTAAAGTGTTACTTTTTCTTAAAACAACAAAACCATGAAAAATGTAAGAAATTTGCCTACTATAAATGATATATATTCATAATGTAAAAACAAAACACAACAATGTAATGAGGTGTACCTCTGTTTTTGTATTATTTTAAATAAATATATTTTTTAAAAAAGTAACTGTTTTCCCCTCAGTAGATATCCTCCCTTCCGTTTCTTTCTTTAGAAAATAACATATGCTTAATTTATTTGAAAAATATTTAATATGTGTGATAACGTATTTTTTCCCCAAAGGAGATGAGAGTTTTTCAATTCAGTCACTAAACACAAACCTTTTTTCCGATAGGTGTTTGTACGTACAGGCTAAATGTGATAACGTGAGATTGGAACCCATGCATAGCGGGCCTTGTACCGAGGCGGACAAAAAACCCCGCGGTGATAATATGACGACGGACAGTCCAGCTGTTGTTCCAACTTCGGACAACTTCACCATCACCCCAGAATTCTGTGCAGATACCCGTCCCTGCCCAATCAACCTCAATCCAATATGTGGAAACAACCATATATTTTACGTGAACTTGTAAGTACAAATCATTGTAGGGGTCAGACGGTTCGATCACCCGGTGGCCAAGATAGCTCAGTTAGTAGAACAGAGGGATCCGGGTTTGAATCCTCGTCTGGTCCATCGCATTTTCTCTATTCCGGGTACATTATTTGTTCCAACTTGTCGGGGGAAAGTGTCGGCAATACTGACACTCGAACCCAGGTCATTCCTCTAACTGTGGGTGCTCAAATACTCGGCTACCGGGTCGACGTCCCAATCTTCTTAGCACTTTAAAATATCCGGCATTGTGAATGTTTTGGGAAGATTTATTCCAGCAATATATATTGTAGCTCTTATCAGTTATGTATTTAATTATGACCTGTAAACGTTGCAAATCGTATACAAATGTTGTGGTGCATGTGATAATACACTCTAACAAATCCAAAAAAAATTGATATTCTTGTGATATATACTTTGAAATCACGAATTTTCGTGGGATCGAGTTTAATTTTCGTTGTTTTTTGAGGTACGAAGAGACCCACTAATTTATGTTCATCGCCAAATGTAATTTTTCACAGATATTACTACTCAACAATTCTTCACCCATGAAATCAAATCCTCATTAACTCATATTTTTTCCTCAAACCGCAAGAAAATATGTGACTTTACAGTATTCGAAATGTTGTTATTCGTATTTATAACCTTGATTCATAAATGTCTTTTCAAATTTAATCTTTATTATAATAATGACTATATTTGAAACGATTTACATGCAAAATCGTGTGATTTATATTCGATAATCACGTGATGTTATGCAAAATCTAAAAAATAACCTTAATTCATAAACATCTTTTCAAATATCATCGTTATTATAATAATAACTATATTTGAAACGATTTTCGCATACAAATAACAAGTTTATTGATATGAATTACAATTATCGAATGTTAATCATAAGAATTAGAATATGAATCTCAATTTCCCGATGTCTTCGTCTTCTTCATCACGATCTTCTAATCTAAAACATAAATACAACTCAAGAATATAAATGACCACTTTTTGAAATAAAATCACTTTTTTTAAAAATCGATCGCAATTTTCTGCATATAAATCACAAGATTTACATGATTATGTTGTAACGTTTTGCACGTCAATGTTACTTTAAGTAAAGAAGTAACTCTTTATGTATTCATAATTCGATCCATATTGCACAATGATTGTAATGGTTTCCTCTTTAAAAAATGTATTTTGTATATTTCAGGTGCGATTTCAACAAAGCTAAGTGTAAAGACTCCAGTCTACAGAGGATACAACTGAGCGACTGCAAGAGCACGAGCTCTCCGCCATCTTTTCTCTATAAGTACAGGAATTTACGCAAGCGCAAACAAAGAAAAGGCAACAGGGAATAGCTAAGCTCATTTATAAACATAGTTAATATTAAAAAAAATCATCAAGTAAAAATATTTATGGAGAAAAGGAATAATATTTTCAGATTTTGTATTTTTGTGATTCCAACGCCCCAGGGAAAATGATTAAGACATTAGTTATTTAATCGCAGGAAATCTAATCAAATGTAATAAATTCTCCCCGCCGCAAGATATGTGACATCACAGCAGACTTGACGAAAAAATAGCTCATTCCATATAAATAACTTAATTATAGCTTGGCTATTTAGATTACTATTTGAGAAATAGAAAACATCGTTCTTCTTGCAATTAATGTTTTGTTTGTTTTTAAAAATAAAATGTTGTTATCGTAACTCGTGTTTCATTTTATGTTTTGTTTTGTTTTTAAAATTTTCATTGTGTTTCATGTCAGCTTTACATAAAGTTTTGAAAACACAGCATCATTTATTCAATTTTTGTTTTTTATGAATTCCATACTAAATGTATTTCAGTTGACTTTTGTTTTGCTTACGATTGAAACAATAATACACGAAACATTCGTCAAAAATTCAGGATAAGCAATAGAAGGGAAATTTCATGAGAAACAAACTGCATATGCCCCGCCGATATGAAGACATGCATAACCGGTATTAAATCACAACGAGAGACTTTCAAATGTAGGACAACTAACACACCACCGTAGAGAAATGCACAACTTTTCAAGATGTATCTTTGAAAGACATGAAAATGAAGGAGATCGTTGTGGAGGAATTGTGGTGGTGGGGTGGGGGTAGTGGGGGTATACTGCAATCTTAACATAGAATTAAAAAGTAAATTCAGAGCCAGGAATTAAGAAATAGAACACCTAACAAATCTGAACACGAACATCACAAAATAATATGGATCGTCTTTAATCTAGAATGACCGTGAGTATAGTTAGTTATCTCTTTATGAGGGTCACGCTTTCTCGAGACTTACATATCATGCTTGACGTCAAAGACAATGTCAACTGTGCTTATTTCATTATCGTGGTTATTTTACAGTATGTTAATCAATCATTTTATTATGATTGTCTCCTTTTTTCAAGGTAAGGCTCAACGGATTTTTATCATGAAAATTACACGAAATTCGGAAAGAAGAGACAAGATTGCTCGTGATTACGAGGTGTATGTATGTGAATGTATTGGGTCTGTTGTTATCACTAACGCCTAATCATTTTAAGTACTCACGCGAAAAGAGATCTTGCATGTGATGGATTTTTTTTAAACAATATATTGCGCATGCCTACCATGTTTTAAAGGAAGTCAACGTTTAAAAAAACAACATTTGTTATAGATTGCCTCGTCTTTCTCATTTTCTAGAATTACCCAAGTAGACTTTTCCTTTTTCCATTCCATTTTATTTTGTCTTACAGTCATAGTTTTACTTCTAATATTTCATTTTGGTTGTCATAGTTAAGTTGCATGGTACCTCTAAGTTGTATTTATGTCACTTCGAACAAAATTGGTGGGTGGGGGATGCATAGTGTAATTGTTCTACCAAAATATGTAGAATTTTGTCTACAGAAGCTCTCGCAGAAGGCTTGGACAATCTTAATGGAACTTCAAAATAATGACACCACACAGTGTACTGGAGGATGTATATAACATTTAAAATTTTCAAGATGGCAACCCTTGCCATGGATTTTTTTAATTTCATTTTTCTCCCCATTTAATTACTCTGAACATTTAAGGATTATTCCTAGATCCAATCAAACTGATTTCAGGGTGTGTGAAGGGGGAGGGATGGGTGGATTATCGGTTGGACAAGATGTTCAATGAAAGCCAGAAAGGGAGATTTTAACTTTAATTTCTTCCTTTAAAAGTACAAATATTTCACCCTACTTAATGATATGTGTCTCCCCAGGTTTCTAGATTTTAAATTTCGGTGATGGAATCAGAAAAGTTAATATATGAAAATGTTTTTTGGCAGAATTTCAAAATACTCTGCTTTTATCTCCAATATTGCACCTTTGGGTCATTTTGGGAGGGGGGGGGGGGTTAAACGGAAGAAGGCTAATTTGGGTGACATATACTTTTATTTGCAACAGAGTTTCTAGCTCTGTTTACTCACCATCCTTTCATCCTATATCTTAATTTACTTGGATCAAATCCCCTTTACACATGCATGTGTTAATATATGACCCCTCTAAAGAGAAAAAAGTTCTCTATTAGAAATGCTATATCCTTGATATATTTGTATGAATTTGAGGTACCCATGGGTATATTGGTAAAACAAATTATTTTAGTGTTTGTCTATTACTGGATTGGGAAATATATACGAGGGAGTATAACCTAACTTCGTCTATTTTTTTTTCTGTGGTACTTACTAAATCGCGAATAAGAAGGGTGAACTTGGCGTGTAATAAGCAGGAATGATGTGTACGAATTTTTCATAGTTTAAATGCCCAAGTCAAACGGACGATTTGGTCGGCTGCCAGAGGTGGCTGGGCAGACTTCACAAAAGCTACGTACATGTAGATAGGAAAATGTTACGTACATTACACTTTAATACCTTCTAAAAATGTGATATTTAAATGTGCTTATCTGAACAGTTACAATTACATATGTAACATTTCATATATCATGTAATTTTCAAATGCGCAGCGATCCCTGTCGAAACCAAATCAAAAGCGCCCTCATTCTTTAAAAACGTCTTTAATATGAATTTAAGACCCTTTTTATCACTCAATACATTCACCGTTTCTTGAATTCGTGCCTCGCTTCAAAAAAAAGTATCGCGAATATTAACACCGCGTTTGTTTCATATTAATTTTTTTTGTATATTGGTCATTGCAGTGATTAATGCTCAGGGATTCCCAATCACGTGGGAGGTTCTGTCCTCTTTGTGTAACCAGGTCCTGATGTTGAGTTGTGACAATGGATACGTCGCTGATGGGGATGAGAGACTTTGTGGAACTGATGGTGTATCATATAAAAATTTGTAAGCATAATACACTGAATGTATTCTCATGTTAAATGTCAAACATTAAAAAAATGTGTACAATCCGCTTCCACAAAGTAAGAAGGGTGTTACGTGTAGAAGTACAAAGGAATGGACTTGTAGTCGCTTACCTGATGTTTGTTACTGTAACTTGCACTATCTATAGTAAGACTGTAGGTACATTTCCCAAGTTTGGTTTGAGATATAGGGTTTGTAATTACATGGGACTTGGGCCTACTTTAAATACAGAGACTTCGCCGAAATGAGCTTTTTCAAAATGTTTCCGCACAAATGAGAGAGAGGAAGACCAAGACATAAGGGAAGGCAAGGGGATTTTCAAAAAAAAATGTTTAAAGATTCTGTTAACTTCCTATCATAGGAGCATATACACTAGACAAAACTGGTAACGCACCATCAAAGAAAATTAATTTTTTTTTACCTTGAAAAAGGTGCATTAGACATTTGATGTAAAAATATATAGCTGTCTTCTACAAAAATTTAGAATTTTTCAATTTAAATTAGTCATGTTGCAGATTTTATTTGACAAAATGAAATATGTCAGAAAGGACATAGCCATGACTAAATTAAAGAGTAAGACGTTAAATGCCCAGACAGGTTAAATAAATCAATGATAACTGAAACGTAACCATGTTATAGAAATGGTTGAAAATCGTGCATGCTCATGCGTTTTTGAGGAACAATTTCCAATTTCTTCTTTGAAATTGCGTTCTTTAATTTTGCACTCATTTAAAACTCAGAAAAAACATGACTGGGTATGCAGCGTTTGACCACAGACGAGCGTGATAGGGCAGTTGGTATGATGTCTGCAGTATGTTCCTTAAGAGATGTTTGTGTAAATATAAAATTATTTTTTTTTAAAATGTTGTTTTAATGGTTGAAAATTACTTCGCCAAGACTAAGAAATGTAACAATGTATGCGGTGGGTAGTCATGACAACAAATAGACACCACAAGACTATTGCAAGACTGTACCGTAAAATTGTGATAACCGGAAAAGTGATCGGGTGCGGGTACCAAAGCACTGACTACCAAATAGGCAACATGTTAAACACTTTGCTTGATTTCGTTTAAGGCACAGGTCATCATCGCTGTTGCAACCTCTCCTACCACATTGTTAACTGTCAACCTTATATCACCGCACAAAAACTGCGCAATCCTTACCTTAATTCTCTCCGTGTCAGGAGGCACACAAGGCTTGAACATCCTTCTTCAACGGGGGGCGGTCTGAGGCTGCTCGGCGCGCCGAATTCCAGGAGCTCAAGCCTGCACCGTTCCGCTCCACCTCCACCAACTGCCGCCATGTTGTCCAGGGGCTGCCTCGCTTCCTTCTCTCCTCAGGCGTCCTCCCGAGGGCTACAGCACAGTCATCCGTTGGATCCTTCCTCAGCATATGGCCAATCCAGTTCCATCTCCTTCTCCTCACCTCGCAACTGATGTTTTCTGCTTTTGCCATCTTCAGAACTGTCTTGTTTGGGATATGTTGCTGCCATCTGACCTTGAGAATCCTTCTGAGACACTTGGTCTGAAAGATGTCAATCCTCTTTTCCTCTTCCTTGGTGAGCTTCCAAGTCTCACAGCCATGTAACAATACGGACAAGACCGGTCTCTTGAAGACCGAGACTTTGGTCTTTCTGCTGATGTCCGTGGCCTGCCAGATGCTGGCTAGCCTCCTGACGTGTGCGCCATCAGCCCCATCCTCTTCTGATATTAGCAGTACCTCCGCCGTCCTTGTTGACGTTGGCGCTAAGGTACTAGTATGTGAAGCTGTCCACCTCTTCGGCTTCACTGTTGCCTATTGTACGTCAGGCTGGATTCATTCTTGCCGTTCATCTTCAACCCGACTTCTGCCGAGTTGTCTTCCAGTTTTTTTTGTCTTGGACTGGAGATGATTCATTGTTGATGAAGTAGGACAAAGTCGAGGTCTTCAAGCATAGTGATAAGTCCAATTGAACTCCCGTTCTCTCTTCTCTGACAGTCTGTTGCACCACCCAGTCTATCACAAGGAGGAACAAGAATCCTGACAAACAACAGCCTTGTTTGACGCCAATCATTACAGGGGCTGTGATCTCGTTGTCGTCAATCACAGAACACTGAAAGTCTTACTACAGGGCAGTGACCATCTGAATCACTTTTCTGGGTATTCCATATTTCTTCGTGATGACCCAAAGTCTCTGTGCACCGAGTCGAACACTTTCTCGATGTCCACAAAATGGATGAACATGGTAGCATTCCACTCGTTGACTTGCTCTAGGATGTTCCTGAGGATGAAGATCTGGTTGACAGTCCCTTTCCCTCTCCAGAACCCTGCCTGTTCTTTCCTAAGGGTGTGGTCAACTCCAGCCTGTATTCTGTTGACGAGTATTCTGCTGAGCACTTTGCTGGCTATGGGCAGAAAGGTTACCCCTCTTTAGTTGCTGCAGTTCTGTAGGTTGCCTTTCTTGGGTATTTTGTAGATCAGTCCCTTGGTCCATTCCTTAAGCACCTTCTCCTCCTTCCATATCTGGTCAGAGGTGTGCTTCAGTTCCTCACTGGTCTGATCAAGGTCTGCCTTTAACATTTCTGCTGTTATCTGATCTGCTCCAGGGGCCTTCCCATTCCCAAGTGCCTTCAATGCAGCCCTGATTTCCTGTGTGGTGGGTGGCTCGACAGATGTCCAACTCTTCTTCCTCTTCATGTTTGTCTTGTGGTGGTGACTCTGGAGTGTCCCTGTTGAGCACTTCCTCAGAATATGTCCTCCAGCTGGCAACTCTTGCTTCTTTATTCTTCAGCAGCTCCCCATCCTTGCTCTTCACTGCTGCTGTTTGTTACTCTGTCCTCTCAGCTGCTTTACGATGCTATAAAGTTCCTTCTGTCTCCCGTTCTCGGCCGCTTTCTGTGCTCGCTCAGCTTTCTCTGCCATCCAGCTCCTCTTGTCCTCTCACGCACTTTTCTTGCCTGCTTTGTCTTTTTCATTGTAAGTTTCTCTCACTCTGGTCTTGACTCTTTCTGATCTTGTGCTATTTTTGTCTTGATATTTTTTTTCTTTCGTCTATCAGCTTCCAGGTGTTTTTGCTGACCCAAGGCTTACTTTTGCCTTTCCTGAAGTCGAGCACTTCCTCTGCTGAATTCACATAGGCCATCTTCTGCTGCTCCCACATTTCCCCGATATCTTCAGTTTCTTCTCTGTGTTCTTTTAATATTTTTCTCACGCTATCGTTGACTTTTTTTAAAAAACTTTTTTGTCTTTTAGGCTCTCCACATCCAGTTTAGGTTTCAATTTGTTTTTGTTCTTATGTATGCTGAAGCGTAACTTGATTCGGGTCTTTACCAGGTAGTGGTCGCTGTTGGCATCCGCTCCCCTCTGAACTTTGGTGTCAAGAACAGACGATCTCCACCATCCATTTATTATAGAAGGTAGTCAATCTGATTTTTCACTCTCCCAGTAGCAGATACCCATGTCGCTTTGTGAATGCCTCCATGGGGGAACAACGTTCCTGTGATCACAAGTTCGTTGGTCTGACAAAATTCACACAATCTTTCTCCATTCTCATTTTGTGTACCCAGCCCATGGATACCCATAGGTCTTTCGTACCCGCTGTTATCACTCACCACCTTGGGTTGAAGTCCCTGTCGTTCTTGTTGCGCAATCGGCTTGGGGATATTAGTTTGAGCGCGAGAGGGACTCATTTGAGAGTGTTTTGTTGAAATAAAGACATAGACAAATTCGACTGCAGTAAACAAGACGGTAATTTAGATTACTCGTGTCGACGAGGTAGACGTCATATTTGAAATTGAAAATACTGAGTGGTGCGTCAGCAATTTTGTCTAGTGTATACTTTTTGATTCTCACATAAATAGTCATCAAGGATAGGGTTACTGCAAGATGCCTATCATATATTACACGTGTATGTTTAGTCAGCACGAAGGAACAATTTACTCGATCTCGAGGTGCCTTTTTCGAGCTGAAGTACTTCAAGAAACATTACATATTTTTTCTTTTTTCCAATTCAGATTACAATAAACACACGAGAATCGGAACGAGTGTCGTACATGATAATGTATTTTACAGTTGTTTCTATGCCCAGGGCCGGTGTCGGAAGCCAGATATCACAATGGCTCACTTTGGAGTCTGTTTGAATTATACCACAGCGGATGTCAACCCCATATCATCTACCCAACCCCCACCTACCACAACTCAGGACTTTATCATTCAAGTATTTTGCACCCACGCTACAATAGATTCTTGTCCACTAGATTTGGACCCGTTGTGTGGAACAGATGGAAAATTTTACAGAAACGAGTATGTTCACATTATGTACTTCTTCCTCCTTTTTAGTCAGAATGTTCGATATATTTACTTATTTTACAAAGAAAATTCCATTACTCACCTGGTCGTAAAAATCCAAATCCTGGCGTAACTAGAAAAGGGTTCTCCAATTATTGATGGAGAATATTTTTCTGTTCATCAATCATCTTAAAAACAGCTAAGCATAGAAAATAGAGGAACAAGTAGACTTAGATGAGTGAATATCATAATGTTCCCCATCTTTGATTTCGACGATGTGAATCAGCACCACAGCAAAAGAAATCTAGCTTTAATTCTAGCAAATAATAACCATTTTTAGTATGGACTTGAATCAAGGTCATCACTACGCACCTCTCAGCATAAACTATTGGTTTCTGAATTATCAATCTGTATTGCGTTTCGCCTGACCTGGAAAGATCGTAAAACTAATCCAAAAGCGAATATTTTGTAAAATAAGTCATTTTCATAAGGACATGAGTAGAACAATTCTCTCACTTCTTCATTGGCTACATGATTCTTCTCTGGGTACAATAAAACTGATCTTTGGGGGTGCGACATTCAATAGCTTGAACTATAGTAGTAAGGAAAATCAAAATAAAAAGCCAGTTAACTTTAACCAAAAAAAAAAAAAAACGGAAAAAAACACAGGATCGGAAGCAAGGGCATCTGGAGTGTTTCCAACTTTTCAACTAGGATTAAGAACAAACTATTGGATTATATTATCCTAACGTAACAAATCAATAAAATTTCAAAGGAAAAGACATACTTTTAGCACAAACAAGAATTAAGAGAGTATTTAATGATATAAATAACACTCCCGTTTTTCCTTTGTTTCAGTTGTTACTTCGCCATTGCAAAATGCAAAGAGACTTCCTTACAGAGCCAGGTGTTGGAGAACTGTAGCACTGATCAACTTTCTAACAATGTGACAATAACAAGTAGTTCAGGTGTAATAGGAAAAGGGATATAAATCTCCTAAAAGTTTAACTCTACTCCATCACTGCAGCCACGATTCACTGTTGTCATGATGTATTAAAACAGCAAAAATGATCATTCTGTAAACTCTAGCGTTTCAATAAAACTGTTGCCGAAGCACCGATACTGAGAATTTTGATAAGCCTTGTAGTTCTACTTGTTTGAACATGGAATAGTCTTGTAGAAAAGTTGTACTGGACATTTTTTGTTTGAGCTTGACATCTACATAATGAATGGTGATGTTTTAGAAATACCAAATCTTATTTAAACCAGTTCAAAGGCAATATCGGTCAAATTTTGTACTGCAAGCCATGTTGAAATTGGTTGCATTTTAATTTCTTTTGGAAAATTATATCATTAGAGCAAAGTTTGATATATGAAGTTATGAACAGAGACAATGTACCTGATTAGAATATTACATATAATTTTGAGTAAGGAAGACATTTATCAACCAGAAGTCTCTGATGAGACATATGCTCAACTGGTTTGTACTTATAATACAAGAAAAAGTAGCACTTGAACTTGAAACAATGAAACAGCAATAAATATATTGGTTGAATTAGTCTCTTCTTTGGCAAGGTTCATTGCAATCAGACTAAAACTGTAGGGGGAGCAGCGTTTTGAAAGAATTTCACAGACATTTCTATTTAAGCAACCATGGCAACACCGTTCATCAAAAACTAATGAATTTGTCAGTGTCTGCCAATTTATATTGACTGTAGGAAGCATAGCATTTTGAAAGAATTTCACAGAATTTTTTTTACTTTTGGTTACCATAGTTACACCATTCATGGATATCAACATTCCAATTAAAATCAAATGTTAGATCCGCTCGCATACTCGCTACACTTTAGTGTAGCGAGTATTTGATTGGATCCAACATCTAATTTTAATTAGATTGGGATGTCAAAAACTGATGTACAGAGTTATGTATCTTTGTTTAGTCTAATTGTGTGCAAAGTTACACTGAAATTAGACCAAAACTGTAGGAAGAGTAGCATTGTGAAAATTGTTTTCAGATGGGCAGACAGACTAACAGAATGACAACAGACACAGTTATTCTGGTCTCTGAGCAGTAGAGCTAAAAAATCAGAAAGTGGATTTGCTTACTGCAGTCCGATTTGAAAAAATTAAAGCTATTAAGCATCACTCTCCCTAATTTTGTTCACACTCCTTTGATAGGCTATTTGCTAAATATAAGATTCACTATTATAATATGCCTGACAGTTTTATTTTTAGTTCACTGAAAGCACAACATATATACAGTTTATCTGTTGGACTTGGCAACACGTTCCAGTTCATCCTTCTTCTTGATAGCGTGGGAGTTTGAGGAACCCTGAAATTTAATACAATAAAGAAATTTAATACCAAGCAGGAAACCAGGTCCCCTATTAAATTACTGAAATGTCAATAATCCTTGTACATAAACCTATGCCTAAAATATTCAAAATTTTATTTTCAACAACTCAGAATTTTCCTTTGAAGTTTTTAACCAGACCTACCTTAGCAGCATTGATCAGCTCATCAGCCAGGCACTCGGCAATGGTCTTGATGTTCCTAAACGAGGCCTCACGAGCCCCTGTACAAAGGAGCCAGATAGCCTGGTTAACACGTCTGAGCGGTGAAACATCCACAGCCTGACGTCTGACTGTACCAGCACGACCAATACGGGTGGAGTCTTCACGAGGACCGCTGTTAATGATAGCATTCACCAACACTTGGAGGGGGTTCTAAAAATAATTCAATATACATGTAACTGATGTAGTTTTAAACAAAATGTAGGCTGTGTCTTGTAATTCAACGTGTACACTGATTTTCTTCTGTACAGTGTTTTCCCTAAGAACCGGCTACTGACCAAATTGACTGTGTCAATTGATAAAAATGCCGCTTTGAAATAAAAAAAATCAAAAATTTAATTGTTGTAAGATCTGGAGATATTTGTCATAAACTTCAACCCAAAGCCTGTTACAATTGATATCTAACATTTACTTTGAAATAAACGAAAAACACTGCTATAAAAATGTATTGATTAGGTCAAATCTTTGGTGTGGGCTTGTAAATTTTCTAATTGTTTGCATATTTTAATTCAAAATATCAAAAGACTCCTACAATTTAATTTGGGTTTGGTATCCCCTTTAATGAACATGACCAAAACAAACATATTTCATGATTAATTTTATTACTGCAAACCATTTCAATGACCTCTAGCATTGCAATGCAGTTGTCAGCACTTTTTCCTGGTCAAGAGAAGAAGCCTTGTTCTTCTCTCAGAATCATAACTTTAAATTGATGAAAATTGTCCTTAGTCTGAGCATTCTTCCTTTTTCATTTGGAGAAAAGGATATCTAGGTTGTGAATTAACTATAACTGTGGGGTCCTAAATTCAAAACATTATGAGCCCCCATTTTAGCTAGTAAAGTTTTAACCCTATTATTTCTGGACAAAAAATATCTACAGAAAGACACTGTGATTCCAATAGGACATAAACGGGGCATAAAAAATCAAAACCAATTGGAAATAGCCCTAATTTTCCATACCAGAGTTTTTCTTTAAAAGTGTCTGTGACTACTAACAGATTGAAATGCCCTTTGTGCTTTCATAGATACATACATGAATAAGTTTACTGGATTTCAAAGAGCTAATGATCTGAAGAGAAGAGAGAGTTTCTACATCCTTAATTAAATTTCTTAACCAGAACTAAAATCTCATTTAAGGCATTTCCACGATCCTATTACTGCATCCCTGCATGTTTCTTGCAAATGAGACTATTTCCAAACAAGATGATTAAGATTTACCTCTCCTGTGAGTAAGTGGATGATTTCGAAGGCATGTTTGACGATACGAGCTGTCAACAGTTTCTTCCCATTGTTCCTTCCATGCATCATCAATGAGCATGTCAGGCGTTCAACTATTGGGCACTGAGATTTTCTGAATCTCTTTACTTGGTATCGTCCCGCAGAGTGAGGCAAATATTTCGCATACTTCTCTTTGACAGCAATGTAATCCTGCAAAAAGTACAGCAAAATTAAATGAAAACCCATCAAGATTATCAGATTTTATGTAGTTGCAATATCATTTTATGTATTAGCATAATCCAAAGATTTTCTGGAAGGAAGTTTTTTTCTTTTGTATGGTTTTATATATATATATTTTATACGATAATATTTGTCAAGAAAATCCAAGTCAAATGAATCCATGGGCTATTATTACAGTCACACACAGTTATAGCAAACACACTTATAATGAATTTATGCTTACAGCAAAGTGATTTTCATTCCCCATTGTTTTAAAATACATTGAAAACTAACAATATAACAAATTATGTTTATAATGATTCAAAATTGTTTGTCCCTTGCACTTTGCTATAAGTGTTTTACTGTATGTGACTCAATGATTCCTAGCTCTCCAATTTTTTCCCTATTTTGGAATTTTAAGGTTTTTGCCCAGGAATTCAGATCCAGTTTAAATGACCCATGTTTTCATATATTAAAATGTTAAGTTTTGCACATAGAAAACATTTAGTATGGAAGAAAATATTATCTATATTGAATGTACAATGTTAAACAAAGGAATCAGGGTTTAAAATTACCAGATGCCCATTCCCAATTTGCAACTATTTTGTATAGCCGACTTAAAATAATGTTCCAAGTTGCCCACATAGTAATTTTATAAATTTACGATAAATACTTATTTTCCAATTTTGACCAAACATTTTTGAAAAATTTCTTCGTCAGTAAAGTGCTTTAAAAATACCAGTAAGAAGCACTTCTACTTAAAGCACCTATGTGATTTTGGATGTGGGCCCCTTGAATTGAAGATTTAGTAGTCCACATGCCCAGCAAAGATTTCAAATTTGTTTGAAACCTTGGGAATACCATAAGTTTTGGAAGATACGACGATACTTTTTTTCTCAGAACCACTGGGGTCGTCCTATTTAACGAATCCACCTATCTTAGGCTCAAGTTTACGAGAAATGCCCCCAAATCAGTAAAATTTACGTCAATTTCAAAGCAAATCTGTGCCATTTGTGTATTTTTTAAAATTATTTTACCGATAAAAATATAAATAATAAAGAATTAAATAATTATTCCATTGATTTCTTACAAAATAAGTTCCATTAAACATCCGCCGATGTACAAAAAAATTAATATATCATCTAGTAAATAATGTCTTAAAGTATATTTACAACATGCTGTGAAGTTGGAAGTCGCAATCGTTTACTAAAAATAAAACCGCAACCGTTTCAAAGTTTAAAATACGGAAGAGTTTTCACAATCATAATTGTAATCTTTTTTTTACCATCTATTTGTAACGATTAATTGAAATAGTATACCTAAATATTTTTCATTGTCTTGTGACATTTATTTAAATGTAAAAGGTGTGAAATAAATTTTTGCCAGTAAATTCCTAAATTTATTTACCAAATATACCGCTAGTCATAACTATTTTGTTTTATATCCCAAGTGGTAGACTGAATTATACAAAGATTGGCTTCTAATAGAATTTTAATTGTCTGACAAATAAAGGGATATACACTGCATGTGTACACAAAGGTGTCAACACCTGTGTTGGTTTTAACACCTCAGGGGCATGATTAACAGATCCACATGCCGTTACAGAAGTATTAGTGCTATACATCATTGAACAAACAAAACTGTGAAATTCATGATGACTGTTAAATTGCGAATGTACTCTTAATTAAATTTATTTGTTACAACAATATCTCAAGCAAAATTATAGCATGTTAATATAATTAATTTCAATTGCTCACTGTTACATGTATAGTCATCTGCGTGTTTTAGCAAATCCCTGGACAAGAAATATAAAAAATGGAGGTCATCGAAGTTAATATTGTACCCCGGTAAATAATGTCGGAAAAAAGGAATGTGTCCACAATGTTCTAAAATGGAAATGATTATTGTCTGATTTAGGATATTACTCTAATTATAGCTGTTGTATACTACCGTATTTTTGTGTTTAACAACAGTGTCAAACTACAACGGCATTGAACAGGCAAGTTGGAGAAAACACGTTATATCACAATTCAACAAGTTTTAACTATGTTTGTATAAACACTATTAAAATGCTGTACTCATAAAAATACCAGTTTTTATTTTCTCAATACATTAATATCACGGGTTAAGTTAAAGAGGTATACATGTTCTGATATGTAGTACAGTTGTATCTACGTAAGAATCTCTAGAAAATCGATAAACAAAGCCTCGTCCTATCTTCCAAATTCATCCTATCTAAGGTTTATTTTAAAAATTACGGCTGAAAATGAGCCTTTTGACCTATATACCCCATCGACATATACCCCAAAAATTACGGTAATTCAAAATTTATTGGTTTAAACATTTATCACAGTAGAACACTTACTTGCGATATCTGTGTCACCGGATTCGTGTATTCATTCAAAACTGTGTTTGAACCCGGTTGACCTCTAAAAAAGTCTAAAACTTTTTTCCGGATTAATTGGATTAAATGTTCCAGTGTTAAATAGTTATCTGGAGGAATAGTTTTAGACTTTTTTAGAGGTCAACCAGGTTCAAACGCAGTTTTGAACGAATAAACGAATCCGGTGACACAGATATCGCACGTAAGTGTTGTACCGTGATAAATGTTTTTTTAAGTCAGCAGAATCGGTATTTTTATTCCCATTTCCATTGCAAAACAACATCTGTGCATCCAAAATATGTCTATGATAATGCATCAATCCTAAAACATTGATCGAAGTGGGACCCGGTTTGGTTCTTTATTTCAGACTTGTCGAAATCCGTCGGTCCTGTCGGCAAGGCCGGTAAAAATTTGTCTGGACCGACAACTTTTAAGAAAACGTCAGTCCAAATGACCGTTTGAAAAAATCGAGCGTGATGAAAATTTAATAAAGGTCGGGATCGGGATGCGTAGCTGAAGGTCACAAACACAGAAAAAAATGGCCGCGTACGCGGCGTGTTGACGATAGCCAATTAAATTTGTTATAGCAAAGTCATAAAACGTGTCATTTATGTCTTTTATTAAAGACTTTCTATCCCAAGGAAGGAAACTTGTAAGACTGAAGGCTGTTGAAAATAATCCAGGGCATTTTGGTGCTGTTATTCATATGACTTTCACAGCTTCAAAATAAGGTACATGTATCTGGTCTGACAAAACTTTGACTGGTCCGACAGAACATTTGACTTTGTCAGACCAAATGTCTGACAATGATTTAAAAATTTCGACAAGTCTGTTATTTAGTCAATTTCTGAACTGCTTCTATTAGGCCTTTCGTAGAGAAGTTGAGGGGGAGTATTAAAACGAGCCATCAACTTCTCAAAAGAAAATACTGTATATACACACTTACAGTTAAACTGATGTCACTGACTTGGACATCATCTGATGACCACTTGCCAAAGAGTTTGATCTCTGGCAATTCTACCACTGGAGCAGGTTCATCCCAGTTCTCAGCCATTGTGCCTAAAATAAGTTGAAATGTTATTATTAAAATGTGCCTAAAATAAGTTGAAATGTTACTATTAAAAAGTAATCACATCTCCTTGTTTCAGTTAAATTCTAGCGATTACTTGTTATGCCACAATATGGGATTATTTCATTTTAACATGTTGTAATTTATATACGATAGTACGTTATTCATTTTTTGTTTGTTCGGCATGATATTCAATATTTTGTTGTAAACCTCGGGTTGGGGGGGGGGGGATTTACACAACATACTTCGAATTCAGCTGAAATATCATGAAGCAAATGCACTTTAATCATAATTGATACCCAATTTTCCATTTTAAAACAACTACTTTTAAGTATCATAAACAAAAAAGGACATTTTTAACACAGATTTTGTATTTGCAAATGTTTGGCACTCATACCGTCAATGTGCCGGAAGTGAAAAGAAAGCACATGGGGTTCACATTTCCGGTAATGGATCACCAAAGGCTAAACATTAAACCATATGCGTATAGTTGAATCCGGAATAAACACAGAAAATTCCAAAGCACTTATTGAGATAGGAATTAACCCCATAATTTTAAAATATATCTTAAAATCACTTCCCCCCCCCCCTTATTCATCATGACTTTACTTTAGAGAATTGCAAAAAAAGAGAAGGGGGTAAGATTACCCATGCACAATTATTCAAACACTAATATTGTCATAGTTTGTACTATAGCGTTATAATTCCCTAAAAATAACACACAGAAAAAAATTATGTTGATAGTAAATGCCTTATTTAAGAATAAATTCACTTGATTTGCCAGTCGCTAAAACAACCCATTATAGTACGCAGAGAGATCAATAGGACCAAGTTGAAATTCTATTTCAGGAGGGAAGGGTTTATAAATGCCGAAAATTCTAATTATAAAATTCTTCAAATAATAAATACGAACTACTGAATTAAGATTGTCGATCTTTAGGGCATTTTGAAGTTTTCTGCGGCAAAAGTTGCATAAAGTAACATGGCTGTGGCTGATCTTGAAATGTACAAACTTAGGTGTTAATGGTGTAGAACACAGGCACTTGGGGGCTGGACCCCCCTCCCCTTTCCATTTTTTTCTTTTTTAAATATGGGGTCGACACACCTTTTTCTTATTTTTGTATTCTAATATGCACTATCTGATATCGATAATGTAACCCTTTTGTCAATAAGCAGAAAGCAGTTTTAAATATATCGTTTTCGACTGATAGAAAAAAGAGAGAAACAATGGAAAAGGGGGGGGGGGGTCCAGCCCCCAAGTGCCGGTGGCTTGAAAGGCAAAAATTAGGAGCGTTTATGCATGTGTATAATCCCCAAATCTAACAGAACTGAAATAAGCCCGTAGGAAGCAATTTCAGTCGGGGAGGGGGGGGGGCACGACCAATAGACTTTATTATTGTGGGGACACAAGCATATAGTAGCTATGTTTTCTACAGTATTCTATATATCTCGGAAAAATTATTGGAGGAGGTACGCCTCCTACGTTCCTACGGCCATTTGGATGTCACGTTTTACCATTGCCCAATAACATTTATTTCTCTAATGAATTTACAATATGTTACATTTTGGATGTTTAAAATTCATTAATTTAAAGTTATCTAAATAACAATCTAGCCAGATTTGCATGGGAGTACAAAAATTGTGTTCGACCATGCATAGAATTTTTCTGCTCTCATATAGAGCTGGTTGCGATCGCTATTAATATATTTTTTACTTATTTGTCCAAACTATAACAACGAAAGGTTGCAATTAATGGAAACTATCTCAAAAATCAAACCAAATTTTTGACACCTGCTGAAAAAATTACATGGATTTTAGATAATGAAAATAAAGAAATTTTGTGCTTACTTGGAGGAAATTTTTTGAAAATGGTAAAAGAACCAATGTATAAATACATCTGTCATCATGTACATGCATGTTTTTTTCAACACCCCCCCCCCCTAAAATATATTACAATTTAAAAAAAGCCATACAAATTGTATAAATACATGTATGAACATGTCGTAGCATAACATATTTGTATTGTCTTAATTGTAATCAATGACAATAATTTGGACACTTGACACTGGTATTGTCTATGATCATTAACACTGAATACAATGTATAGCTTAGTTATTTATATAACTGTTTATATATATACTGTTTTATACACTGAACTGTCTACGGATATTTTCGATTTTGTTCCCGATCATGACAAGGAGCACACGGCGGGTTTGACCGTTCGGCAGGGGATGCTCACTCCTCCATGGCACCTGATCCCACCTCTAAATTGTTAGGTCCGTGTTTACTCTGCTCCAAATTCGTATCTTTTCATTGGACTTTCGAGATTGAATACTGCTCGTTATCTTCATATTTCATATATATATATAAAACAATTTATATTGTGAAATATGTTTAAACTGTGCATTTATATATGTTGAAATGCCTTTTGGGACCCTTGATTGGTAAATAAAATATATTATATCTTGTAAGGTGAACCATTTACAAAACTTTCTCTAAACGTTGTATTATTAGAAATACATGTATACATGTGTTTGACATTTGCTTTAGAGAAAACCTTCTACACACTTTTTACAGCTCAAAAATATACTTTACACCATTTTTAAAGGTGCAAAATAATTGTTCTAGTTATTTTGAACTGATATTTAAAGTCGAAAAGATTTGTTCAATCTTGAGCCTGGTACACCCTGTAAATGAGACGTCATAGATGTATCCATCCATTAATGTTCCTGAACCCTGAATATTTTTTTATGCAAATTGTAAAATTAATATCCGTAACGAATTTTTTTTTTTTTGAACATTTGCCTAAACTGGGCAATGTATTAAGTATCAAGATGAAATCACATAAAAGTACAGGTATTTAACTGAAAAGTTAATTCTAGCAAGAAATACATATAGTTGAACATCATCAAGGTTAGATGAGGGAAAACTTAATAATGTGTCACTATCAGTTTTTCTGTTTGGTTGTATATGAAATAAGAATTCAAAATCGAATCTGTATAATCGTTTATAAACAACCCAGGCGCGGATCCAGGATATTTTTCCGGGGGGGGGGGGGCACCCCCCCCCCCCCGTAAAATCCATTTCCCAAACTTATTTCGTGGTAGTGATGGTGGGGTCCACGTTTTCTAGGGGGGTCCATAGTCATTTTATAATTGCTTCAGTATATACTTTTAATAACTCTGCAAATTCCAGGGGGGTGGGGGTGGGTCCGGACCCCCCCTACCCCCCCCCTCTAGATCCGCGCATGCAATCCATGATCACTACTGCTTGTAAGCAAGAAAATTTTCACTAAGTGTTACTAGTAGTCCTTCTGCAGACCACGTTGGATATAATGTCTACTTTGTAGGACACATCGATCTACAAAAAGAGAAGTAAAAAGCGGAAAATATAAAAAATATTTTTATTGAAATTTGAAGCTACATTTATTTAGTATATACACTAAATTCTTAAACAAATAGTAGGCAAGTTGATGTAAATCAGAGTGCAATTTGATATGTCCTCTTATCCATAAGAAGGCACTCTTCAAATGGAGGTTTTCTCAAAAACTGTTTTAAAATTGGGAGGAGGGGCACGATAATGTGTACAGTGGCGGATCCAGGAATTTCATAACGAGGGGGGGGGGGGCAGTAGAAGGCAAATAAAAAAATTCAAACGGGGGGGGGGGGGGCGCACGCCCGTCGCGCCGGCTCTGGATCCGCCTTTGCTGTACCCCATCCGAACATATAAACCGAAGGGTGTCGAGAACAAAGACCTATGATAAATCATCAAACTTTATCAAAATGTCAAGCTTATTGGTTCAATTACATTTCATGGATATCAACATATGATGATATTATTTTCCATCTATGGAATGTTCAACAGAATAATAAATAACAGAATTGGCTGTCCCCATAGATCCACTATAGCCATGATTTATTGTAGTCAGTCTTTATAAGCGTTATAGTTGAGGCCTTAAAATGCAGTGTCCACGATTAGCTAGTGCAATGCATCGAAGTTCAGCTATGCCAGAAAGCGAGCGCCAAAAAATTCTTTACTTTCAGAATCTTAAAAAGAATCAAAAATATTAATTCAAGCACAAGTGCTTGTGCATGTTGTGTGGATAATAATTTTTTAATACCGATAACATAAAATAAATTATTAATTCTATTCTGTAGAATAATTATGTTTCCGAAAACAATAACATAAATGTAAAATTGTCAATAAATTGATCATTTTTGACAACTTTGGAATCTTTAAATATTCAGTACATGTATAAACAACCAACTTAAAATGCTAAGTGAATTATTACAAATAATAATTCAAAGTTTAAAAAGTTTTAAAAGATATACATCCGTGTAAATAAAATTAAATGATGACACAAATCATCCCTTTTACAATTGTAAAGTCCTTTGTTGAAACTACATACCGTAGCATCCTAATGAAATCAATCGATAAAGTTATACCCGTAACGAAATGTATATTCATACTGAAGATGAATTTGTTTTATGAAACATGTATAAAGTTTTGTGTTCTTTACGGTAAGTTTTTTGTTTTTTTTTTCTCTGGGAGTGAGGCTGGGGGTGGGGGTGCTTGTTTCAGTGTTTTTGTTTTGTTTATTTTTTTTTATAAGAAAATTTTCCACAAAACTTAACGCTATAAAGTTTTGTGAACTTTTGTTTTTCGAATACGAATAGCATTGAAAATCTATGGAAAATAGAGGCATATACCCCAAAAATATGTTGGCCTTTTCTACTGCAATCTATGTGTGGTAAATATGTAATATGTTTCTGATATGCTGTTTTTTCCCATGCACTTCTATTTATAGCAAGTTCCTGACAGCTTCACTAAAATTGCATTTTAATTTGATTTGTCCTTTTGGCATGTGATCTGAGGTTTTATATTTCGTATAACTTGAATCAACAAAATTTTGGGTAAGTAGATACACATATAGGAAACGTAATGTGAAAAGTATTTTTCTCCCTCGATATATACACAATCCAATTTACGGATCCTATCGCTTTAAATTGTATGCATATCATATTATAACAAGTATTACGCATCAAGAATCCTGCATCTTGTTGCTAATCTCAAATTATTCACCGAGATTTTTTTTAATGGAAATAGGTTTCCCTTCTAGCTGCCAGTTATAATGAGCCTACGTACTTATGAAATACATGTAGGTATTTAAATCCGGTTTATTTACAAACAGTTAAATTGAATTCTAAAGTGCATGACCATATAATATAGATATGGCAATTTTTATAAGTGAAGATGGTGGCGACTTGTGGTACAAACCATCCGCATTTAAACTAGTTCAATTACTGAGTGTCCAAAACTTTTCTGATCTCTGTAATTTCGGAAAATTTTTGCATTTAGCTTTTAAGTTAAGAAACGAAAAAAAGCTGTGATCCATTAATTCTTCATTTGTCCTGTCTGTATATACAAATGTATGTATTTATTATGTGTTACAATTAGGGATGGCAATCGAATAC